TCCTTGAATCGCTGGGGAACATTTGATTGTGGGTCATGGCAGTGTGAGAGTCTCTGCTCAGTCGTCACCCTCACCTTTGACCCTGTGAACAGTGCTGCTGTTTGTTCTGTGGGTCAGCGCTGAGAGCACCAACTTAGTGGGCATCTGGTCCTGGAACCTTCGCCCTGAGAATGGTTCTGGCCAAGCACGGTGGTGCACACCTGTCACCCCCGCACTTGACCGGTAGGGGCAGGGGGGTGAATTCAAGGCCAGCCTCAGCTATGTGGCAGGTTTAGGGCCAGCCTGGGCTCTACAACAAAAAAGAGACCCTGTCTTGTAGAATAAAAAACCAAAGCATTGAAAAGAGACTGGGGTGATTCACGTTGCTTTTCTCCTGACACTTGGGAGTCAGAGGAAAGAGGGTCGCTCCTGCAGGTCTGAGGCCAGCCTGAGCAATGCAGTGAGCGCGGGGCTATGCGATGAGTGATGCCTCGGGGAAGGAAAATGTGTGTGCACACGTCACATGTCAACTCTCCTGCCCTCTGGGCAAGCAGAGACCATGAGTGGGCACTTCGTTGTGTAGCTGGTGCAGGCCAGAGAGGTGGAGGTATGGGTAGGCCAGGGTGACCGTAACTCCAGATTAAAGACCATCTTGACCATCAAGTTGTGTGTTTGTTGGGGTAAAAGAAAAAAAAAGAAGTCATTATTAATAGGCAGACACCTTCAAGTAGTAGTATTATCATTATTTTGTTTTGGTTTTTAAGACAGGGTTTCTCTGTAGGCCTGGCTGCCTTGGCACTCACTGTGTAGACCAGGCTGGCCTCGAACTCACAGAGATCCGCCTGCCTCTGCCCCCTGGGTGCTGGGATTAAAGGTGTGCACCACCACTGCTCTGCCAGGCAAGTGTTTTTTTTTTTTTAAGATTTACATTTCGTTGCCTGTGTATGAGCGGGTGAGTGACGGTGCCTGCAGAGAACAGAACAGTCAGATTCCCTAGAGCTGGAGTTGAGGCTGTGAGCTGCCCCAAGTGGGTGCTGGGGCCTGAACTCAGAGCGGGAAGAGCTCTTCACAACGAGCCACCTCTCCAGCCCTTCCTTAAGTATTGATCTCTATTAAGACACTCGTATCAGATGCTATAGCAGAGACTGTTACATGACGTAACGTCTAGATACAGCTCGTGTGTGCTGGAGTCTTAGACCTATAATTTACTCACCTCTCCTCAGAATGCAAGTTTGAGAAATGTGGAAAATAAAGTGAACTGGGTGTCATTGTGGTTCCTTTATAAAAACAAGAAGTGACACAATGCACATGAATTTGCCTTATGTGGGCAGGTGACACATCACATGCTTTGACTGGAGGTCTCCATGGTTACTTCACGTTTCCATAGCCATGCTCTGTTTGGTGTCCTCCAGGTGCGGTGCAGAAGGTCTCTAAGAAGTTAGAGATGCACGTTTACAGCAAGAGGCTGGAGGTCATGCTGCAGTAAGTGTCGGGAGCTGGGGGTGTGGGTGCACGGGGGTGCGGGTACTCGGGTGGGAGTTCTGAACTCATGGTGTGTCCCCGTGCGGCTCATGTACTAAGTTATGTCCAAGTTCACGCTGTGGTTGGTGCCGGATGCCAATACCCAGCGTGGTTGGCACTGCTTACGAAGCCTGCACATCTGTCGACTGGTATGATGGCAGCTGAATGGCACTGCGCCTTTAAGAGTTATTTTAAGTGTTGACTCGATGTGAATTATTTGGTAAAGTGGGTGTTTAGCTTCTTTCCAGTAAGTCTGTCTGTAACTGTGAACGTCTCCAGTCCAGTGTGTTCCACCGCAGTGCCTTCCTGTGGGTGCTCTTTGAGCTGACTTCGGAATGTTTTCTAAGCAATCTTAGGAAACCTCTTAACAGTGGATAGTTAATTTATAATTTCAGCACCTAACATCGTGCCTGAAGTGCTGATCTCTCATTTGCTTGGTGAATGACTGACTTAGTTTTCATTAGAGAAAGTGTCAACAAGACTGAGGGAAGAAAGATACATTTTGGCTCCTGGTTCAGAGAGCTCTGCAGTGGCCAGGTAGCCTTGGCTTTGGCCCCGCGTGGAGTAGAGCATTATTGTGCAGTAGAGGAGGAAGCTCACTATATTCCGTTCTTCAGAGTCACAGGCTGTCCCTTCAGAGTCACACACAGGCTGTCTGTCCCTTCAGAGTCACACACAGGCTGTCTGTCTCCTTCAGAGTCACACACAGGCTGTCTGTCCCTTCAGAGTCACACACAGGCTGTCTCCTTCAGAGTCACACACAGGCTGTCTGTCCCTTCAGAGTCACACACAGGCTGTCTGTCCCTTCAGAGTCATGCTCCCAGTGTCTTTCTTCCTCGCCCAGGCCCCAAGTCTGTTACCAGTGCAGCTGTGCCAATGCCAGCCTGATGTGAGTCTGTAAGGAGGAACGGTTGGTGGATTAGGTCAGAACCCATCACCTGGCAGCCAATTTAGACATCCTCTGGGAATGAAATGGCTGCTCCTGCCTCTGAGCTGAGAGTGAGCTGAGTAGAAATCTTAGTATTTGGGAGGATTTTGTGTCCCTTATGTTTTTATAAAATTTCATGCTGATACCCATGGCTTTTTAATAATGGCTTTCACTGGCTTTTTGTTTTGTTTCGTGTTTTAAGAGACATAACTTCACTGTATTGCCCAAGTTGGCCCCAAACTGGAGTTTCAAGGCCATTCTAGGCAACCTTGTGAACCCCTGTCTTAAAGGGCTGGGGTGGTATGTCTGCCTAGTGTGTGCAAGGCCCCAGGCTGAATCCTGGCGTTCAATTAAAAACAAAACCAAAGCTAGTGCTTGCTAAGTGGGACAGTGGAGCATTCCCATTAGAGCTGTGTTTCAGCTGTTGGAGAACAGATAATCAACAGCGTATCTCCAGAGTAGCTAAATAAAAGCATCCTGCTTCCAGGACTTGGGCCTCTCTTCAGTGTAATCCCCCCCACACCGGTAAAGTTGGACTTTCTCAGTAACACCAATTTCTGTCCACTTAAAGGGACATATTTGGAGAAGACTGTGTCAGTGTGAAAGATGACTCTGTCCTCAGTGTCACAGTGGATGGGAAAACAGCGAACATTAACTTGGAGACACGGGTATGTAGCTATGTCTTCATGACATTGAGGTATGAAGTGCAGACAGGAATACAATTGCAGCCTGGCGGCTGGGTGCTGCAGTTTGGAGGCTGGAGGCTGGCTCAGTTGGTAGGGGCTTTCACAGTGTGGAAAAGTCCTGGTTCTCCCTGGTGACACACAGAGGTGAGCATATGGAACTGCGTGTCTGTCATCCCAACAGCCCAGTTCCTGATTTGCTTTGTGAGATATGGGTTCTTATCCTGTGGCCCAGGCTGGCCTCGGAACTCCGTGGCACTGTGTTTTGTAGTTGCACTGTAAGACATGAGCGACCATGAGCTAGGCTGGGTAATGCATGCCCGTAAGCTGCTCAGGAGGCTGGCCTGAGTTACAGCAAGTTTGAAGCCAGTCTGTATAGTGAGACTAATGTTACCTTTAAAAACACGAGCACTAACAAGGCAGTGGCCGTAAGGTGCTTAGTCTGAGTCAAATATCACCAAGGGGGAGTAGTTTACCACACTCACTGCCTGCTGCATGATCTGCTACCCTGACTTGCAGAGTGTAGTGTACCCGATAGATGTAGGGGCTTGGGCCTAAGAGTCTGTTCCCGCCCCGCCCCTTCCGCTCTCCAGTCACTGTGTGAGCCACACGCGTGTAGGTCAGTGGCTCGGGCCCTGGCAGGCAGCCTCCAGAGTCTAGAGTGTTCATGTGAGTCCGTGGGGTGATTGGTTGTAGGCTGAAGTTTGTGCTTTCGCTTTCAGATTGTGGAGTGTGAAGAAGGCAGTGAAGACGATGAGTCCCTCAGAGAGATGGTGGAGCTGGCCGCCCAGAGGCTGTACGAAGCCCTGACGCCTGTGCACTAATGCCTTCATTCCCAGCACTTGGACTTTTTTACGCTCTTGGTTTTTCTTCCGTTACTTCAAATAAAATACCTTAGTTTCTCTGGGGTGGCCTGTTTCCTTCCGCATCGGATGGCCTGGTTCCTGCTGGACCACAACTCACTTGTCCATTGCTCTCCCCTGTCCTCACTGGAGCCTGCCGACATTTACCCAGCACCGCTGGAATCCAAGCATCTTCCGGTGGCTACGTCAGAATTGTCGTCCTGTCCTTCAGAAAGGAAAAGCGGTGGTCCATATTGGCATGTCCGTGTTTGGAGTTGAAGGCAAATATTGAAACCCATTCTCTAGTCCCTTTTGGAATTCTTACATTTGTAAAATCACCCCTTAGGAGTCCCACACTCAGGTCAGAGCTGGTTTTATGACAGATGTATTGTGTGGATTAGTCTCATGCCTAAAGTACATAAAATTCAGGCCAGGAAGTAAGTGGATGGAGGGAAGGGGTGGCAATCGGTGATTACCGCCTTTCTCTGGGGAGACACAGGAGCTGGCTGGTGCCTCTCCCTCAGAGCACACTCACTATGAAGCCGAGAAATTGTGCAGATGGAAGCTAGGTATATAAACACTCCTGCGCTTTGGTAAAAAAAGTGTAAGTTTGACTTCCTTAGAATGAAATTTCTATAAAAACAGTCTAATTCCCATGTCTGGCCCATATACAAAGTCTAGGGCCCCAACACCATACAAAAAAATTTATTACATAAAGCTAAGCATTTCATTTTAATGCTGGGGCATGATGCCATGGAGTCAGGTGGTCTGGAGTGAAGGTTCCCTGGACAGCTCTGGCTTTCAAAGTTGCCGCCTTGCTGTGTCCATCAAGACCAATAACCAAGGAGAGGCGAGCCTCACTTGGGCTTTACCCGTGATGGGCAGGTGAGCCTACTGAAGCAGGTCCCAGCTCCGCCAGCCTGCGCTGGGCACACTGAGCTTCTCAAGTCTCTAGGACACCCTAGCTATCACTGTCTGGGAGCAATGGGGTGAGCCAGCTCACAGGACCAGAAGTGCCCCGCAGGAGGAGGCGGGAGAGCAGAGCGGTCCCGCCCACAATGGCCCCGCCCCCCTCGCGGAACATCCACATCCGGATACCGCTCGGTGCTGGCCACCATGGCGCTGTGCGAGCGGGCGGCCAGCGGGAGCTCTCTGCTGTGGCCTCGGGTGTTGCTCTTCGGGGACTCCATCACGCAGGTACCCCCTTCGGTTGTGTCTGTGCGTGTGCCGGGCGAGCCTGGCGCGGTTCCCCTAGTGCTCCGAGGGCCGTGCACCTTCGCGGGCTGGTGTGGAAGTCCGAACCAAGTCCGCGTCTTTTCAGGGAGTCTTTGGATGACCCGGTGCACGTCGGGGTTGCACCGGGACTTTAGATGGCCCGGTGCGCGTCGGGGTTGCACAGGGGGCTTAAATGGCCCAGTGCACGGGGAGGGGGGGAGGCGCTTTGAGGATTCGCAGCCTCTCCGAGTTCGCTTCCTGCAGCCTCCTGCGGGTTCCTCGCCGAAGACACTTTGAACTTTGAACCGATTAGTTCACCCCTACCAAGTGATTTTGAAAACAAAATACATCCAACAGTACGAAAAAGTAATCCTGTCAGGTCTGAGACCGTTTTAACTCCCAATTAAGGCAGTTCCTCACGATTCCTTCCCTCGGGAAGACAGAAAAACCGCTTTTTCGTGGTTTTCTAATACTCAGGCATGGTTTTCCCTAATAATTGGCAATATTATTTGTAGGTTTTTGTAGGTGGCCGTGGGCCGGAGGACTGCCCTGACTGTTGGGGAATTGACTTCCTTGGTTTTCAGCTGTGGAGAAGCGAGATAATGTGATGTCATCTAACTCGACATAGCTGAGTTTCTCCTGTGCATTAACAGGTGTCTCTAATGTTAACACAGTAAAACGTAGATGACTGTCTCGGGTCCACTGGACAAAGAAAACAACATTTCCAGACAGCTACCAAGTGAAGCCACAGTGACCCCCCCAGATGCCTTCCCAAGCAAGGGAGGCAAGGAGCCCAGGGGCGACACGACTAGCCTGCATCCAGAGGGCCTCCCAACCGCCCCATTGTGTCCGGCTGCATGAATAGTAACAGGCTTTTCTCTTCAGTTCTCTTTCCAGCCCGGTGGATGGGGTGCAATGCTTGCTGACCGACTTGTCAGGTGAGAACAATTCCCAGCTCTTACTTAGCTGTTTCCTAATGGGAAGAGTGAAGACACAAACAGTGCGGTTTTGTCTCTTGGCCTTTTCCCTTCTCCGTTAAAGGATTGCAAGGCAGGTACTTGGGTGCAGCAAAATTGAGTTTGCCACCTTGTGAAATCAGGTGGCACTTGGGTTGGCTGGAGTGCCTACCTATAATCTTCCAGACCACTGAGTTTCTGCCTTTAGCATTCTGTACTTGCCCAGATTAACATCCATCAGAAAGTCCATTTTAGATACATACTTAGCCACCACAAACATGTGCAGAATTAGAATTGCCCTTTGTATGGAATCTGCACCTCACTGAGGGATATGGGAGGCTGGGCAGGCTCTAACCACCACAAAGATGCCACTCTTTGCTCTAACCCCTGTGTTTTAACCTTTTTTTCCCCCCAGAAAATGTGATGTTCTGAATCGTGGATTTTCAGGTTACAATACCAGATGGGCCAAGATTATCCTCCCAAGATTAATTAGTAAAGGCAGCAGCACGGAAAACCCAGTGGCGGTTACAGTTTTCTTCGGTGCCAATGACGCCACACTCAAAGGTAAGGGGCATTTCTAGACAACTTCCTTTTTCCTGGACCCAAGCAGACCCATGTTTATACGTGTCTCCCAGCCGAGTTTTCCAGAGAACACTGCGTTCCTGGAGCCTGCCTGCGTGGGTTTCTTTGGGCTCTGATGTGGTTAGGTTTGGCTCAGGTACTCCAGGCTTTTTCCACGTGGCTGCCTTGTTGGCCCACCTCAAGTTATTTGTCGTTTGTCCCTGCACTCCAATGTCTTCAGCTACTGCAATTGGTAGCAGAGGGCTTGCCTCTGGGACATGCTGTCTCTGGCAAGAAGGGAACCTTTGTTAGAGACAACCTCTCCTGTAGCCCAGGCTGGCCTCACACACACTAGGTAGCCAAGGCTAGTTGATCCTTCTTCTCTACCTCTCAAGTGCTGGCATGATAGGGCTTGCCCCCCTGGCCCGTTACTGGGTTTGGTTTTTGTTTTGTTTTGTTTGCTGTTGGTTTGCACTGACTCTGCAGAGAGCGCCTTGTGCTTGTGCTGGCCTGACTGGAAGCAAGCGGTCTGGTGCGTGTCTTACAGAGTTAATTGTTTCCTCAGCTCTCCTAAGAGGCAGAACTGCTGTTCCCCTCACTCCTGGTGAGGACACACTCTTCAGAGGTTGGGCATTTTTCTGAGGTTAAGTGACTAGCCAGTGACAGGCAGGGTTGGAGCTGTGGCAGGCTTATGTCACAGCCTACAGATCCAGCCCGGTGGTGAGGGGCAGAGAGAGAAGACCAGCATGCTCTAAAGGCCCTGAGTCCTGAGCTGTGACCTGGCATAGGTAACTGGCTTTAAGAGGAGTCTTTTCTTTGTGTCTTCTGGTCTATTCCATGCTTGTGGTCTCAGTGCTGGGGGCTGAGACAGAAAGATGTCTACAAGATCCAGGCCATCCTGAATAAGAGGAGGAAGATCATGTCTCAGAACAGATAGGTCTGCCAGTGGCGCACGCCTTTAATCCTCGCACTCGGGAGGCAGAGGCAGGAGGATCTCTGTGAGTTCTTTTGAGGCCAGGATAGGATCCAAAGCTAACCCTGTCTTTTTATATATTTATCTATTATGTATAGTGTTCTGCCTATATATTATGTATACAGTGTTCTGCCTATATATTATGTATACAGTGTTCTGCCTATAATGTATACAGTGTTCTGCCTATATATTATGTATACAGTGTTCTGCCTACACGCCAGGAGAGGGCACCAGATCTCATTATGGATGGTTGTGAGCCACCATGTGGTTGCTGGGAATCGAACTCAGAACCTCTGGAAGAGCAGCCAGTGCTCTTAACCTCTGAGCCATCTCTCCGGCCCAAAATCCCATTAAAAGGAAGGAAGGAGGGAGGGAGGGGGGGGAGACAGGGAGGGAGGCAGGGAGGCAGGGAGGGAGGGAGGGAGTCTATACTCCACCTTATGTGTTGTTTCTGACTGTGGTGTGCATGTCTTGAGCAGATGAGAACCCCAAGCAGCACGTCCCCTTGGATGAGTACAGTGCGAACCTGAGGGCCATGGTGCAGTACCTGAGGTCTGTGGACATCCCGGAGGATCGAGTTATCCTCATCACCCCACCCCCGCTGGGTGAAGCAGCCTGGGAGAAGGAATGCGTCCTGAAAGGTGAATGCAGCATGCTTGGCCTGTCACAGCAGCATGGGGGTGCTGTGGGCTTCTCTCCAGAGCTGTCAGCCAACTGGAGATCAACTCCTGATGTCCTCCTCGAGACTGTTTCAGACCTAAGGTGGGGCGGGGTCCTGGTGGGCAGGTCAGGAGGGCATCTGTGCCCAGCACATTCTGTAGTTCCTTTCCGCGGTGCACAGGAAGCCCTCTGCCAGCTGCACTAGGGCCAGCAGGTGCTCTGCCCTGGCACGGGGAAGGCGCTGCAGCCGAGCTCTGCACTGACTCCTTTTCCAGCCTCTAGGAGCTGCTCCCGTCTGGCTTCCTTGGGCAGTTGGAGAAGACGTGATGGTAAAATCCTCCCCTTTCATCCCTGTGTGCATTGTCCCTTCAGCATGGCCACTCTCATGCTGGCACGCTTGACTGGAAAAGTGTCCCGTGGTGTCTCAGCCGCCTGGATCCAGAGATGTGACCGGGACACATTAAATGGCTTTCAGCACAGGTCAACACTAGGGAAGTCGTTCTTTTCCTGTCCCCCACCTGCAATTCTGAGGTTCTCCCAGCTCTGGCGCTCAGCCGGGCATGCTTGCCACATACCTGGGTAGTCTGCCTTCCTCCTAGACTAGGTGGGCAGCATGTTCATGGCTTAGTGTGTATTTTGTACTAAAATCCGCACGAATGAGAAAGGACGGCCGTCTAACTAGGAAAGCCTCAGAACGGCTGGGCATGTTGTTTCCAGGCACAGTGTGCAGTAGCTCAGGCAATGACTAGTCTCTATAGACTAGACTTTTCTCACATTGCGGCAGTGTTGTTGGCTGCATGTTAACACTCGGGTGCTCCGAGGCAGTATCTCATGGTCTTGATGTTTCTAGCCATGTCCCTAACACACCTCACTGTGGTCTGCTCTCCAGCTGGTCAGCATCTGCACCCTGACCGTCTTAGAAGCTTCTAGATGCTACAGCTGGCTGCTCCTCCCCGCTCTGCCCTTTGTCCCCCACTGTGCAGAGCAGTGCCTTTGTCGTAGCCCCCAGGCAGGCTGGCATCAGTGGCACTTAGAAACGGTCCAGTCACTGTAGCTCAGTAGGGACCAGCCATAAGTTTGCCAGTGACCCTCTGTTGTCACCAACAGGTTGCAAATTAAATCGCCTGAACTCCATCGTTGGTGAATATGCTAATGCGTGTCTCCAAGTAGCCAGAGACTGTGGGACTGATGTCCTTGACCTGTGGACCCTGATGCAGAAGGACAACCAGGTACTGTGGTTTTCTCAGGCCTTTCGGGGTCATTGGGGTCAGAGGTAAAGCAAGGGATGTGCAGCTCTCCTGGGAGCTTTCTTCAGACAGGCATGGTGGTGCGTGCCTGAAATCCCAGAATGTGGGAGGTGAGGGCAGGAGGGTCAGCTCAAGACCAACCCTAGCCACTAGCATGGAAGCCAGCCTGGCTACATAAAACCGTGTCTCAAAAGACATAAATGTCGGCCATGCTTTTCACCAAAAAGAGCATAAAGACTGGGCAGGCGAGAGGCCTGGAGGACAGCCAGAACCTCAGCTAAAGGTCCCCGTAGAACACCATCGATGGCCAAGTTCGTGTATGTAAAAGCAGGGCAGAGTTCAGATAAAACAGTGACATAGCTTCTCTAACAACATCCACAGCTTGAGACGTCATTCTAGTTGAATTATTTTGTCTTAAAGCCTGAAGACAAATACGTATGGAAAAAGCCTGCTGTTGAGAAGTGCAGCTAGCCACTCAGGAGGGCAGCGGGATGACCGTGCTGTCACACACGCACTGACAGGACACAGCCATGCACATGCAGTTTTTTTGACAGCATTATCCACACCAGGCCAAAGCTAGAACCGAGTCACCCGTCTTTCTGTAGGCGACTGAGTAAACCCGAATCTAGAGGCCTGGGTAGCAAAGAGGCCAAGTCTGATGCCCAAAACATGAATAAGGCTGATAGGAAAGGAGGACTCTAAAGTCACGTGACATGCATGGTTCCAGCTATAGGACGTCCAGTCAAGGCTGTGGTGACAGGTTAGTGAGGACAGGGACAACAGCAGGTTCCACATTGTTTCTGTCCTGCAGCACGTAAGAGGCACAGTCAGACTCATCTGTTTTAGCCCCCTTTCCGTGAGAGGGTCTCATGAACTTGTAGCTGAGGGTGGCCTTGAATTTCTGAACTTCGCACCTCTGCCCCTGGAAATGGGGTGTTGGGGTTACCGGTGTGCACTGCCACTTTCTAGGGTGCCGGAGACCGGGCAGTACTAAGCAGGCACGCAGCTGCGTTCCATCCCGGGACCGAATTTTTATTCCTTGGTAAAATGCTTGTTCTCTAGGGGCATCTTGGTGATGCCGAGACCCAGGGAGGAGCTGAGGCGTGGGTACTGTATTGTTTGAATTGCTCGTGGACCCACTCCACCCAGCCAGCCTGTTATTCCCAGCTGTTTGGCTTTTTTCATGTAGACAAAAGATAGAAAAACTCAGCCCACAGTCCTCAAACCACATGCTAACTTCCCCTTCCCCAGTTCTCAATCCATCACTCCTCCAGCGGCCTGGGAGGGTCTGACAATGCCAGCTGACCTGCAGAACATTGCAGAAGTTCAGCCTGGACAGGTGCTGGAAGTTGGAGACCATTAGTCAGTTCCAGGACGCCCAATGGCTGCAGACTTCATCACAGACCAAGAGACTCAGCTTAAGGCAAGATTTAAGATTTGTGAGAGAAGTGTCCCGTTTGTCTTTGGAGGCTCTCAGAGCCCCAGGACTCCCGTCGCCTCGGCATCCTTCACGGAGCTTTGTTCCCAGAGCGGAAGGGCCACCATAGCCTCAGTGCTTATCACCTGAGTTTTATTACAAATCTACTCGAGGGCCAGCAGGATGGCTCAGCTGGTAAAGGCACTTAATGCCAAGCCTGATGGCCTGAGTTTGATCCCAACACCTACAAGTTGTCCTTTGGCCTCCTAGTGCCTCCTTAGCATGTGAGCACCCCTTCTCCAGGCCCCCCCAAAATAAGGATCCCGTGGAGATGGCCCGAGAGTACTACAGGGCGCCTTCCACCACTGCCTGGTTTACTCACCAGTCTTTCCCGTCTAGGAATAAGGGCATCTTCCTTACCCATCACTAACCCAGAACCATACAGCTAGCTGGGAGCGGCCACTAGAACTGCAATTCTGTCTCTAACAGTCTCCATAGGGATCAGGGGAATGAAGATTCCTCCAGGCTAGAATGGGCCTCCAAGTGAATCCTGGGTTTAGAGGGAGGAGTGACAGGAGACTGGAGACTGGAGTCTGCACAGCTTCCTGTTCTAGTCCAGGCAGTCCGTTGTTATCACCCCAACCTGCCCACATCCCAGGACCCTGTGCTCTGTAATGTTAGTGGGACCCAGAGACGACGGGTCAGTTAGACACAGGGGCAGCAAGGGTCTTGTACACAGAAGCACTCTGAGGCCACTGTGGTCTGTCCCAGTCACTATTCTGGTGCACAAACACAAGGGCAGCCCCAAGGAAGGCACGTGACAGACATCACTCCTTCTCTGCAGGACTTCTCACCCTACTTATCAGATGGCCTGCACTTATCACCAAAGGGGAATGAGTTTCTGTTCTTAAACCTCTGGCCACTACTGGACAAGAAGGTTTCCTCTCTGCCGTGGCTGCTTCCTTACTGGAACGATGTGGAGGAAGCAAAGCCTGAGCTGAGTCTGCTGGGAGACGGAGACCATTAGTCAGCTGAAGCCTTCCCAAGGAGTGGTTCCTGCAGTACGTGCGTCACCTCCAGCTGTAATTCACAAGCAGTCTGAGAGTCACTGTTCATGTACATAACTCAGCAAGTTGAGTAAACATTTTTCAAGATTACCTTCTATTCGTGACTTTTTTATGTTCATTGGTGTTTTGCCTGCATGTGTGTCTGTGTGAGGATGCCAGATCCCCTGAACTGGAGCTACAGTTGTGAGCTGCCGTGTGGGTGCTGGGAATTGAACCTGGATCCTCTGGAAGAGCAGCCAGTGCTCTTAACTGCTGAGTCATCTCTCCTGCTCCCTGTTCATGACTCTTGATCAAAAACCCCACTAACATTTGCCAATGTTAATAACGTATTTTTCAGGGAAATGTTATTCTTGACTCATTTTGTTTGGATGTTCAGTATTTATTGACTGAAACAGTTAGCAATGCCCCAGCTATAGAATATACCCTGAGCAGCTTGTTGTCCTGTACATGGCAAAAAAAAAAAAAAAAAAAAAAAAAAAAAAGACAATTTTGGTTTGTTTAAAAAGTCAACTTTATAAAAATGCTTTTCTTATGTTTTGCCAAGAACTTTGATTCATACATACACCCACACACCCCACTCACCTTATAGCAAATCCTCAAAATATAAGGCTATCATGGTAGTTAAAAGAGCGAATACCACAAGGTCCATGTTCAAGTATTAGTGTAACAGATGTCCTCGGAGAGACAAGGCACAGGTTTGGTTAGCTGTCCTCAGTTTACAAGTTATCTTGGTTAAAATGTGTTGGCTGGTTGAGCACATTTCAACTCTTAGGAGAACAAATGCTTTTGTAACTAAACTTTATAGAAATCAGAATTCAGGCTAATGGTTTTTGTCCTCCGCACAGTAAGTATGCAGCGTCCAGCCTCCTGAAGCACTAAAGCCAGAGGTCATTGTGTCTTGCTGGGTCTGAAGATCAGTTCTTCCAGGGCTGGGCCCAGGCAGAGAGTGGCAGCGCACCCAGCCTGTTGAGAACTGGTTCTGGTAAGAGCCCCTTGCTCAAGCTCCCAACAGCAGAAATCCTGTTCTTCCTGGCAGGGTTGTGGGGACACTGAAATTCCTCCCAGCACCTAGCTTTTTAAATTATGTGTCTGCCCATGCTTATCTCTGCACCACAGGCATGCCTGGTGTCGCAGAGGTCAGAAGGCCACCATGTGGGTGCTGGGGATGGAACCGGGCGCTGCTGGGCCAACCCTCCAGCCCAAAATCGTTGTTCCTTTTTTTTAAAGGCAGAGAAACTGCCCAGTGAATGGGGCCTGACAATTAGTAGGGCATCTCTTAAGTTTACATGGCTGTTACTGCACACCTTACCTGAAGCTAAGAGTCTTCATCCTGGACAAGACCTTTCTTAGTCAATATGGCCCTAAGTATAGACAGAACTTTCCATCTGCAAAGTTCCAGTGCCAAGACAGGCCACATTTGGAGACAGTGTACATACAGCTGAAGGCAACACAATGATGAAAAGTCTACTCCAGTTATCCTCAGTATTAACTGCCAAGTGCGTCACTGGTGAGGGGACCACGACAGTGGACTGTCCCCAAGCACTAGATCCAGCCTTGTTTTCTGCTTTTGCACCACAGGTCAAAAGAGATTTTAGATTATAAAAGAGAAAACCCAAAACCTGAAATAAGCCACATTTACCTCATCCCTTCAAGGGGCCTACACCTACACAGGTTGTCGTAGGAAGGTCACGTCACATGACCAGCATCCTATAAGTTGCTTCCATGTTCCTCCGGTCGCCACCATGTTTGGTTTCAGCTAGAGCATCCGCACGTGCATGTCCTGAGCAGGACGAGACCAGCACTAGCACTCTGTCTCCTTGCTGTCGACGCGGCTCTGACGCTGCAGCTTGAAGGAGGCCGCCTTTTCACTCCTGGTGACAGGGTGGTCTGTGAGATCCTCAAAAGACTTGGCAGCTGCGCTGCTGTTGGGGAAGGGGTCCTTCTCAAAGCCGTCGTCGCCCACATGCGAGTCTGTGCTGGGGTCTTCCTGGATGGTGTCCATCCTCTGGTGGTCCAGTTTTGGAGCCGCAGACACTGGTGGCATCATGGAGGCCGGCTGCAGGGGCTGCAGACGACCTGGAGTCTGGGGTGCAGGAAAAGGCTTGATAATGCGAACAGATGCCGAATCCATGCTGCTCAGCATCTCAATGTTCTGGAAAGGTGTGGGGAAATGAATCAGAGGTCATTACTCTGTAACCATACCCCACAGTAGGCCCGGGCCATGCTCATGCTAGGCGAGGCTCTAACAGCGAGTGGGAGCTCCAGTGATGACACCTGTGTCACCAAGATCCGAGACAGCAGAGCTCAGTGCTGAGAGGCTGAGTCAGCACCTGGGCTGTGGGGAAATCAGGGTTCCTCTCTAGCTTCCCATCCAAGGGACTAAGTCAGGCCACTTCCTCAGGACATTCACACCCAACCAGATTCTTGTGACTTCCCCTAGCCCAGGAGGGAAGAGCTTTGCTGAGGCCTGCTTTTTTGTTTGTTTGTTTTTTCGAGACAGAGTTTCTCTGTAGCTTTGGAGCCTGTCCTGGAACTTACTCTGTAGACCAGGCTGTCCTCGAACTCACAAAGATCTGCCTGCCTCTGCCTCCCGAGAGCTGGGATTAAAGCCATGAGCCACTCTTTTGTCTTCTGTGTATACTTACACTGTGGTGAAATAGAGACAGGGATTCATACTGTTTGTCCAGTTTCTTATCCTAGAAAGAACAGCAAGTAAAAAATGTCACTAAAACTAAAGGAGCCACACCCTCAAGCAGCCTGAGTGAGCTGAGACATGACTGCAGAGCGGCAGCAGGTCTGGAATCCTTGGAGCAGCTCTGTGTGCCACCCCTCCATCACCACCAAAAAGAAACCCAAGGAACAGGCTCACTAGCTGAGAACACAAGCAGGCCAGGCTATACCCACATGCTCCCAGGCAAGACATGCTGCTCTATACCAACAGTGGCCTGGATACAGAGAGAGGAGGAGGTGCTTTAAGTCCTGTCTGTCAAAGATGCCTTACACCGTGGGCAGGAGAAGGAGAAGCAGGTTTGTATGCAACACGGTCAGCCCCATCCACAATGCTTGTGCACTGGGGCGGTTGGCAAAGGTTATGTGACTGTTTGAGGCCGCCCCCGGTCCTGACTTCACTACCCCAACCCATAGCCTTTCACAGAACTGAGTCTTGATCCCCACATTGTATCTCTGCAGGAGGCTAAATGCCAACTGACAAGGGAAAGGCCCACTAAGAATTGGGCCACAACTTGATGCCTGGTGCCATGAATGCATGCTGTGGCTGGAAAGAAGCCACCACTCAGCGGCTTTGCGCTGAGATCAAGGTCAGCTTCATGGTTCGCATACACGCCTTTCAGTGTACACAGTCTGCTCAACTTCACAGCAGAAACACTTGGGAGGGATGGTGCTGCTGTCCTGAGACGATCTTCTACCAAAGCCTCACTCCATCACTACGATGGCAGTGCAGCTCTGCCTCAGTACAAGTGTCCCAGCGTCTTCCCACCGTGTCCACACTGGGAGAAGCCAGCAGGCACTGTGAGAGCTTCAGACAAGCCTCACCCTGCATCTGTAAGGCACCCACGCCCTACTTATGTAAGGTCAATGTTTTAAAACTCAAAATGTACAAAGAACTAGGAATTTTAAAGACAAAGTCTAATTTAACATGTAACCACTATACATGATAATGTCATTATCTACACAGTACATGGGGAATACCTGAAGTGTTGGCATTTGCTAACAAGTACTCATATTAACTTTACAAGTCACAGGCCCCAGGCAAGTCCAGCTAAATGTTCCTCTGTGTTTAAAGTATTAAAAAAAAAGAAAGCAAACTATTCCCCTGTGGAGGTAGGAAGACCACTCTGAGGAGTCAGTCTCTGTCCACCACGCAGGTCCTGGGGAAAGAACGTGGGTGTGGCAGCAGGTGTCTACCTACTGTTGTGTCGCAATCTAATGGGGTCACTATGGATCTGAGGATAACTTTAAGCTCCTGGTCCTCCTGCCTCTACCTCCTGAGTGCATGAGCACTGTACCTAGTGCTGTGGAGGAACATAGCCCCTGGGCAAGCTAGGGAAGCCTTCTCCTAACTGAGCTAAGTACCCAGCTCCCATTCTGTTCCAAGATCATCAGGCAGGCTTCAAGGTAAGCCGTCTTAGAACACTTACATGATAGCACTGTAACACTGTAAAATGTTTGATCACTAAAACTTTGGTGACTTACCACACAGTGGACAAGAATGCTGAATGGAATCCAGAATATCAAGGAGAAAACCAGGACGGACCCTACGATGTTGTCTGCCAAAAACTTCCCTGTGAATAATTCCAAACAGTGAATGTCTCAGCCATGCATCCTAAGTCTACTCCAAACCACTCTTGAGTATCATGCCAGACTGCTCAGCAGTGAGGAAACTAGAGTGTTACCATATTTCCTGTGTTTTTGGTGCCAACAGACCAAGTATAGCACGGTTAAGAATATTTTTATGACCTGAAGGTTAGTGGTTTTTTTTTTTTTTTTTTTTTTTGGTTTTTCAAGACAGGGTTTCTCTGTGGCTTTGGAGGCTGTCCTGGAACTAGCTCTTGTATACCAGGCTGTCCTGGAACTCACGAAGGTTAGTGTTTTTACAGCAAAATGCTAGCGGTCTTTGCAGTCTGTAAACCCTGAGACCCACTGGTAAAGAACTACATCAACAGGGTCAAGAGACTGAACTACGGTCAGCTGGAAAATGTCCCTCTAAAACTAAGATACACAAGAATGGCCCTGCAATGAGTTTGTTTTGTCCTAGCCAACGAAGTGTCTTTTAAGTTTTTTAATGGTGGGTGGGTGGGCAGTTTTTCAGGACAGGGTTTCTCTGTGTGCCTTGGCTGTCCTAGAACTCACTTTGTAGACCAGGCTGATCTCAAACTCAGATATCCACCTGCCTCTGCCTCCTGAGTGCTGGGATTAAAGGCCTGACTTCACACCTTTATTTTTAGTATTTTGAGACAGGGTTTCTCAGTGTGGCTTTGGAGGCTGTCCTGGAACTAGCTCTTATAGACCAGGCTGGTCTCAAACTCAGATTCCCTTGCCTCTGCCTCCCGAGAGTCGGGAGTAAAGGCGTGCGCCGCCACCACCCTGCTTTCAAACCTTTATTTCTATAAATCTGCCAGCATATATGTCTTTCTGTGTACCATGTGAATTCGGTGCCCTGAGAGGCCAGAAAAGGATGTTGGATTCTCTAGGACTAGAATTACAGGTAATCATGGGTGCTGGGAACTGAACCCAGGTCCTCTGGAAGAATGACCAGTGTTGTTAACCCTGAGCCATCTCTCCAATTCCTAACAGTTATTTCATAACAAATGTGGTGAACAGTTTAGTCTTCTGTTGCAGGATCATAGCACAAATTCTGAAACCACACCCAAGTCACCATGGAAATGAGCTGAGATCTTGGTGAATAATCAGGAAATAATTCACTTGCCAAAAGTGTTGATGCTCAATTGGTCAATGAAATCCCAAAATCGCTCAATCACATCCTGTACTCGTTTTTCACATTTGCCCTGTAGGGAGAAAACAATACGTTTAGACCTAATGAAGCCTCCGGAAAACAATGGACATGTAAACAACTTCACTTAGGCCCATCTTGAACACAGGATGGTAATTTCAGTATGAAAGGAGGTCCTGTCATTAGCATTAAAAAATATCTGGTGCACTGATGGGAGTGAGGGTGTTTACAGGGGTATCCTGTCTATTTTTTCTGATGGCTAAGAATACAAGAGTGTGTTGCCACACCCAGCCTAAAAGTCTAGTTTTAGAATAACCAGGGTAAGGCTCAAGAGAACTGTCATCCTGGAGGAACCAGTCAGAATGACAGTGATTATATGCAGTGGACAGGAAAGACTTTGTATTGTCTAACTTTATTTTGCCGCCAGAGGTAATCCAAACGCAAATGCTACCTTTTGTCTCTGTGACCAGTACTCGCTTTCATTGACTAGGCACGGACAGGGATGGTTAAGGCAGGAGTGGGCAGGTGTTCTAGGGTCACTGAAGTTCAAAACTGAGCTCAGAGACAGAAGACCTGGGGAGGAAGCTTGATTTTCATTGTTGTTGCTTGAGACCAGATCTCAGCAGTAACCCTGGCAGGCCTGGAACTCAATGGAAAGCAGTCTAGGGTGGGGCTGTGTGGTAGAGATGGCTGGTTTCAGACAGAGCCCTGATTTCCTGGCTTGGACAATGGACACAGACAACAAAACTGCTCAAACTGCAATTCTGAGGGAGGCGGAGTAGGAAATACTGAGTCCGCTTAAGCTGCCCGAGTCAGACCCTGTGCTTCTCTACTCCACAAGAGAGACTCCCAAAGTTACAGGAACAGTGGGACATAATACTTACATTCATGTCACAAAACCCTACTGTACAGGGCTTCCCTTTCCTCAAAAATAAGTTCTTTTGCTCTGCATCGACGTAGGGTAAACACGGGCCGGAATGGTTCCTGCAGCACACCTTGCATGAGTTGTCAGTGTCTGTAAGAAAATCCCGGCTGACACAGGCATCCATAACAGGCTTCCATGACTCCTAGTTAGTCTCTGACCTCACTCCCAGATGGAATAAGCTGATACCACCCAGGGTTGAGGGTTTCAGTCACAGTGCCTACCTGTAAGGTGGATGTGATGGCTTGGGTTTCAAATCCAGCACCCATGAAAAAAAAATAGGGCCAAGTCGGGCGTTGGTGGCGCACGCCTTTAATCCCAGCACTTGGGAGGCAGAGGCAGGCAGATCTCTGTAAGTTCGAGGCCAGCCTGGTCTACCAAGCGAGTTCCAGGACAGCCTCCAAAACAAAAAACCAAAAAAAAAAAAAAAAGGGTGGGGGGGGCAAACTTCATATTCATTTAACAGTTTCTGAATTCATAATTCCTCAGCTCTTTAAAACAATTAGCTGGGTATGGTGGTGGCGCAGGCCTTTAATCCCAACACTTGGGGATCAGAAGCAGGCAGATTTCTAACTACAAGACCAGCCTGGTTTAACAGCCAAACTGTATTCTCTGTCCAAACCTGCATAATGTTCTTGCAGATGTGTCCCTCTGACCCAGCGTTCCTAGCATCCTGTCAGTTTCCATCTCTGACTTCTCAGTGTAAAGCCTATCCTACCCTGGGCCAATGCAGCTGTGACAGAACTGTCCACCTGTGGTATAGAGCTGAGTAACTGCCTGAACCCAAGAGCAGCTGTGACAGACATCACCTGGGGTAAACGTCAACAGTCAGTACCCAGTGAGCCATGCAGACACTCAGAATGAAGTTTACCTACCACAGTCTGAATTTGCTCTTGGGGGAATTTAAGTTTATCTTCAGGAAAAAGCCAAGGAGAACACAAAGCAAGCAGGGGCTCACTGTGACTGTGTCTTTCCAAGGCACTGCAAGTCTGCTGTCCTTTGCACAATCATTTCCTGGCAGCTGTACTGTCTTTGAAGTACTGTGCATGTGCGCTAGGCAGGTGCTCTGCTGCTGAATCTGCTGCTGTTACAGTGACCCGCCAGGAGGAACCATTCACTCCAGTGTATGGATGCGTTCCCAGCCTCATGATTTAATGCTGATGTCTCCATATGGAACAGAGAACTGCCATCAATTCACCAGCTCTACAGTGGAGTGGGAATTTGGAGTCCCGCCAGGCCCTGGATGTCCTTAAGTCTCCCTTCAGACCTAGTGGTTCCAAAAATAAGAGCATGGGAACCCAAGGAAAACTAAGAGGCTAGCATTAAAAAGGTTGCTTTCCCAAGCTGCCCCAACAGGACAACAGGATGGCAGACCTTGAAACCATCAAAAGTTTCCCCCAGAGGGCAAAGTAGATAAAGGCACTGACTGCCAACTTAAAAGCCTGAGTTTGATTCCTGACACATACATGGTACAAGGTGAGAACTAAACCCTCAAATGATCCTTGGACTATGCATGCACAGGGAAGACACATGCATACATTCAATTCTGAAAATCCCACCTATAGAACTTAGATCCTGGAAATGGCTTTGGTTAAGTTCAAGGCGTTTCCTCCATTAGTGCCATGGGAACAGACTATTTCTACCTTTGTGCTTTATATGGCATGTGAGGTAAATGAGGACAGGCCTCCCTCTCCCAATCTACCCTGAAGCCTGCCTGTCTGCCTGCCACAGGTCTGAAATGGAGCAGGGAGACGGGATCTGAACACAGGGGTCTCTGTCTGCAGACACCAGCGTGCCTTGCTGCTTTCCTCATCCCTTGTTTGGTCTCCCCGCTTTGATGAGCAGCACAGAGCAACAGACAAAACCAGATGTCCTCCAGTGACAGGACTCAGACCACTCACCGGCGCACGCACACGACTCCAGCTCCTGCTCTCTCTTGCAGAAGGGGATGCACTTCCCAGCCTTGCACTTGCCGAGGTCCAAGCACACAGTGTCATCTTCAGCATCTCCTGGTGGGGGGCACTCGCTGCTATTCCCTGGAGGTAAACACCAATTAAAACTCAGTCCAGGCCAACAGTCCCCAGGGCATAACAACTGCTACGTACTAGCAAACAGCAAGGGCTCAGGGCTGCATTCACCCCAAGGAAACCTGACCCCGATTTTCAAATACATGTTCACACGTCACAGGACACCTGGAGAAGCAATACAAACACATACCTGTGCAGTAAGACACGCCTTTGCAAGTAGCATTAATAGCCTCCTGGCACTTCTTCTGGGCCGTCTCAAACTGACAATTTTTACAGCAAGGACTGTTCCTATCACTACAGAAAAGTAGATAAACACCATCAGTGCCAATGACAGCCCAACATCAAATGCTATGGCTCCGTTAGTGATCTCAACACTGGAGCAAGAGCCCAGGGCCAAGTCACTATTAAAGCCTGACTCCTCTGGAGCTATCCTTACTGTGTGTATCCCTTCCGAATGTGGAAAAGGGCAACATCAATGCCACACTTCAGCAAGAAACAGTAGACACAGCAATCACCTTTTTGGTATTCTTTTGATTTCAGTAACTAGGTAAGAAAAAAACAGGGATGCACCTGTGGCTATGAAACAATGTGGCCAGAGTCCCTTCCCACTCCCTACAAGTTAAAAGGCGCAGTGTACAGACGAATAATTCACCAAACACTGATCCAGCAGGCACTGGAAAATGTTAAGTACCTTCGAATTTAGAATCTGCTCAGTATCATCAAATAGCACTCCACGTTATTCTGTTATACAGATACACAGTAACAATTACAGATACACAGTAACAATTACAGATACACAGTAACAATTACCATCTTGGATTGTTCCAATACTTTACTACTAAAGGACATAGCCATGAGTAGTCTTGTTGAATCAACTTTTTGTTTTAAAAAGTTTGTTTTGTTTTTCCAGGTAGGGTCTCACCATGTAACCTTGGCTGGCCTGGAGCTCACTATGTAGACCAGGCTGGATTCAAACACACAGAGCTCTGCCTCCCTCTGCCTTTCAAGTACTGAGATTACAGGCGTGCCCCACCATGCCTAGCTTTAAAAAGATTCTTAAGCTCCAATGAGATAGCTAGTAAAGACAGTTGCTACCAAGCCTAATCTTAAAAAAATTAATTTTAAGTACTAGGAGGTAGATCTCTGTAAGTTCCATGTGAGCCTGGTCAGTTTACATAGAGTTCAAGGTCAGCCAGAGCTACATAATAAAACCCTGTCTCAAAATATTAATAAAACACAAAAGGGAATGCTGTATCAGTGGCCATGCATGCAAGGTCAGCATCGCTTTGTGTTGTTTTTAAACAGGTCTAAATATTTTCCATAAAGTACTGTGCTTACACACACATGCTCTTACAAACACTTTTACTTCAAGTGCCTGCATTGCGATGCCCTGCTATCTGGACCTCATCACCAGCACTGCACATGCACTGCGATCCCCGTTATCTGGACACCCGCTCCCCACAGTCTGGGGACACTCTCACCTGCACTGCACACCTGGCTTCAGAGTGCAGTCACTATTGCAGCAGGTGTCGTTGTTCAGGTACATGATGCCTGGGTCACACTCTTCTCCTTCATCCACCCTGGAGTTGCCGCACACCTTGTTGCTGCGCTCCTGGAAGCACTCCTGAGCCTTACTTTCTATGGTCTTGTAGATGGACTGTTTACTACAGTTTGAAAACATCTTAAGAGAAAAAGGGGGCATAAGAGGTGAAAAGAACAAGATGAAACTCATTCCCAAGTCGGTTTTGTGCTTCTCTACAAATACTGTGAAGCCACCACTGAGTAACTATGTCAAGAGGTCACCTGCAAACACCACAGTAAGAAACTACTGCAGTAGAGTAATGCAGAAAAGCCCAATGACTGGATGTTGATTTATTTAGTGAGTTACTGAAAACACTGCTTGCACTGCCTATTTGCCAAGCATGACTTCACTTGCTCCTGGAACAGAATGACCCGGAGAAATCGCTGAAACAATGGGCCACTGCCGATTGTCACCTACGCCTCTGTAAAATCTTGCTTTCTTCTCCAGCCCATCTTGTGGTTTTAGAGCAGTGGTTCTCAATCTGAGAATTGAGACCCATTTGGGGTTCCATATCAAATATCCTACATATCAGATATTTACATTAAGATTCGTAACCGTAGCAAAATTAGTTATGACATAGCAATGCAAATACTTTGATGGTTGGGGTCACCACAGCATGAGGGAGTATACTAGAGGCTCATGGCACTAGGAAGTTTGAGAACAATGTGCTGGAAGTTAAAACGAATACAAACTGGACCCAGCACAGAAGCTTGGCTGTACTGGCTTTGGTCCACATCTCTTCACTCTCATTGGTGTCGGAGTGCATAGTCCAGAAAGACAGATGCAACACTGTTTCCCTTTATTCAATACAAAACAGCTAGGGCTTTTGTTTTATTTTTTTGTTTTAACACAAGGGTCTCGATTGTGTGGCTCAGACTATCCTGGAACTCCCTATAGACCAGTCTAGTCTTGAACTCAGATTCACCTTCCTCGGTCTCTCTCTAGTGCTGGGGTTAAAAAGAATGCCCCACCATGCCCCACAGGTCAAAATGGTCAGTGACCTCAGACAAGGACCTAACCCACTACAGCCAGCAAGAAGATCTCTTCATTCGCTGTTACACTCTCAAGCAATGGGTCTCTAGAGCCTAGACAGTGATGAGCACACAGTCTGTCACTGGCTTTCTGACCACCGTCTCTAAATGCCAGTCTTCTGTCTGTCTGCACCTTTATCTACAGCCTCACTTTCTTTCAGGGACCTTCCGGAGGGGAGCACTGCCCTCAGCACCCTTCTTTCCAGTGATGTCCGTGTGCACTGCTCATGTAGTGCCTCAGGGAAGCTACTCACTGGCCCATCTGCTAGCAAACGGCTGTTTAACCAGGGGAAACGAAAGAACCACCTCATTTCTGTCCTATAGCCCTCCCCACCTTGTTAAAAATGTTTATCAAGAAACCCATGAACCAGGCATGGTGGCATACACCTTTAATCGTAGCACTCAGGACACAAGAGGCAGGGACCTCTGTGAGTTCAAGCCTGCTCTATACAGCTCGTGCCAGAACTACATAGAAAGATCCTCACAACAGTGAGTGAGTGAGTGAGTGAGTGAGTGAGTGAGTGAGTGAGTGAGTGAGTGAGTGAATTCATGTCAGGCCAAGGAAATGGCTATGCCTCTTCAGGTAAAAGTAGCCTCTGCCAAATCCGATGACCTGAGTTCAACTCCCAGGTAAAAGGAAAGGACCAACCCCTAAAAACTGTCCTCTGAGCTCCACACATGAGCCATGGCCCACAAATGACCCCCATTAATAAATAAATGTAAAAATTATTTGAAAAAAGCTATAACATAGAAGATGAATGCACAGTGTTTTTTTTATAAGGGCGGCACTTGTTGGGAAAACTAAACTGTCAAGGAGAACGTGTGTACTAAACGTGATGGGCGCGGGACAAAACCAACTGTTTCGCTGACAGCTCTACCCACACTCCACTCCCGCTAGCAAGTTCTCATAGGCCACGTAGGGCCCGTGGGGAATTCCTCGGAGGAGGAAGTAGCATCATGTGCTTTTCTTTGCAGCAGAGTGCACAAAGTCAAAGGCCCCCAAGGCCTGGCAGCTCCCTCATAACCAGAGCGGTCCAATGCAGAAGCCACTAGCTTTGTGACGGCTTAGGAGTCTCTCCTCATTGGATGTTTTATACGTCATACTGCAGGTGTCCAAACGTGTACTAATGGACAAAACAGTTTTATGAGTGCTCATGTCCCCTCACCAGCTTCCACGTGACTTCACAGGGTTTCTGTCTTTATCACTTGACTTTAAGAGCCATTAAGACACATTTAATCCCTAGTATAGCAAGAGGAAGGAAGAGAGGAAGAGAGGAAGGGGAATAGGGAGGGAGAGTGGTAATATCAAACCGGGAAGTACAGCTACATTAAAACGAGTAACAAATTGCAAATGAAATCGTCAGGTCATTTTTAAGGCTGAACCAAACGCCCTCAAAAGTAGGACCCTGACAAAAGTCACTACTGTATCTGCCACAATGAACCCACATTTACATGTGACTAACCTTGACAAAACCATCCAAATGATACCAAATTCCATCTCTAGGAAGAACATCAAGGAATGGCTATTTTAGCAAGCCCCCTTCTTCCTGGTAACACCACATACTTTACCAACACCCCTTCTCCCCCACCACTAAAAAACGATCAACACGCACATACCTTATTGTTCTCGTGGTCACCACTCACGGCTATGGGATACATAACGTACTTCCCTCCCTGGTCCTCATTTGGGGCACATTCTGCTAGGCCATCAGGATCATGTTCTGCTCCAAAATTGTGTCCCAATTCATGAGTTGTAACCAGGTCAGCTTCCTTAAAAACCAGACAAAGAAACTATGTGACCATCAGCTGCTTTTGCCAGTTGGGCCCGTGCCACATTATCAGACCAAGTGGAAGTGGAATGACTCCCATAAGAGGTCCACACCCACGCACACTCATCATACAGTCTTCACATCTGTATGTGTGTGCAGAGCGAGAACCACGGAGAGGAAGAGAGGGAGAGGGGGGAGGGAGGGAGAGGGGGAGGGAGGGAGGGAGGGAGGGAGGGAGGGAGGGAGGGAGGGAGAGAGAGAGAGAGAGAGAGAGAGAGAGAGAGAGAGAGAGAGAGGGAGAGAGAGAGAGGGAGAGAGAGAGAGAGAGAGAGAGAGAGAGAGAGAGAGAGAGAGAGAGAGAGAGAGAGAGAGAGAGAGAGAGAGAGAGAGAGAGAGAGAGAGAGAGAGAGAGAGAGAGAGAGAGAGAGAGAGAGAGAGAGAGAGAGAGAGACCATGAGCGCATAAAATACATGTGTGATCGGGGCTATTTTGCATAGTATTTTTACCTAAGCCATCTTCCTGGCCCCATATAAATGTTATGGGGTGTTGGGGAAGTCCTGTTATTTGCCTGTGTATTTGTCAATAAAGTACTGTCTGGCCAATAGAAAACCTAGATAGGAGGGGCTAGGAATCCAGGAGGATTCTAGGTAGGAGAAACACAGGAGAGTCAACATGTAACGCCATGGGGGTAGGAAGCCTGGAACTATTCTCCGGTAAGCAACATACTTAGATTAACAATTAGGGGGTAATTACTTAAGTCAGAGCTACCTAGTAAGAAACAAGCAAGGCCAACAGCTTCATAATGAATCTAGCCTCCTGTGTGTTTATTTGGGACTGAAGCGGCTCTGGAACCAGGCTGGCGGAACGGCTCCTTCTCAAGGAAAAAGCTTCTCTTAACAATGGGGGAGGATGGCTCAGTGGTTATGAGTGCTTATTGCACTTGCACAGTTCAGTTCCAACCACCTGTAATTCTAGGTCCTAGGATCAACTATGCAGGCTCCTACACGCACACACACACATACACACACACACACACACAAATACAATAAATTCATTAGTAAAAAACAAAAATAAGGCAGATGAAACCTGAGAAACCACACCCAAAGCTTACTGCCACAAGCATAGAGAGGGAGAGAGGGAGAGAGGGAGAGGGGGCAAAGGAAGGCTGGAAGCCGAAGGTTCCCCCAATTACGCACAGGATTTCTTTTCCCATCTTTCGACAACAGTGGAGGTCTCCTCTCTATCTACACTCAGCCTTGAAGAAGGCAGCCCTCTCCCACCACCATGTGGAGTCAGGGATCCAACTCAAGTTGTCAAGCGTGGCCACAAGTGCCTTTGCCATCTCAACTGTCCTGATGCTGGTCACATTTCTTGGAAATTGAAAACAGTGAACAGAATGATTCAGTATAAAAAAGAACACTACACTCACTTCAGGAATAAGGAGGACATGACCTTCCAAGGACAAAAGGCAACAGCTGACAGATGTCAACAAAATGTTTTAAGTTGATAAAAAAGTACATGAATTTTTTAAAAGGTGAAACACTACAAACATACATTAAAAAGCTATACAGAAAGGTGCTACGGAACAAAAAGACTACTATAACAAAAAAAAAAAAAATTGGGCAGCACCAGTGAAAAATTCAAAGGTGCTGAAGGAGAAAGTTAAAAGCACCATGTAGGAAACAAGTAAATAAATGGAAAATAGGAGAAAGCACTAAGAAGAAACAAATAATTTACTCTACAAAATGGACAAGATAAGATACCTGGGCCCACCTACAGTCCCAGCTAATCAGGAGGCTGAGGCACAGGGGAGCTACACTGGCCCAGAAGATTGAGGCCACTTGGGTAACACACACAGTGGAGGACAAAAGTTACCAAAATGACACACGAATACTTTCAAACCAGGCTTGTTGATACATGCCTGCAATCCCAGCATTTGGGAGGCGGATGCAGGAGAATCTCAAACTCAAGTGAGACTCTGTTTCACCAAATACAAACACACCAAGCAAAAAGGAAACATTTTGCACAAAGAAAAGCATCTAGATTGAAGGGCATACCTGCCCCACAAAGGAGAAAAAAAGAAAATGTTATACCAATTTTAAAAAAATATATTTATATTAGTTATGTGTATGCAGTCTCTGTGTGGGTATGTAAAAGGAGTACAGTGCTTGAGGAGACCAGAGTAGGCTACCAATACCTACTCTCCAAGTACACACACACACACACACACACACACACGCACGCACGCACGCACGCACGCACGCACGCACGCACGCACGCACGCACAATTTTTTGAGATAGGGTCTCTTTCAATATAGTCCTGGCTATCCTAGAATTCATAATGCAGACCAGGCTGACTCAAGATCTATTTGCCTCTGCCTCCTAAGTGCCCAGAATAAAGATGTCCACCACCATGCCTTGCTCTCTCTTATCTTTACTCTAATTCTGCTCTGGGCAGCAACATATTCAGTTAAAATAGCTACCTTCCTGCCCTGGTGCTATGGGCATCCATATGTGCAGGGAGGCATAATCAGAAACTGTTGGATGAGGCTTACGGTGTAAGGACAACCTATGGTAGCTCTGGTCTCTTTCTCCTTGTGCCTATGAGGCTGCAGTGTGAAAGCAGGGGCTGGTGCTCAGAAAGGCAATCTAAAGGAAAGCCAGGGAGACCCAGACTGAGAGCATCTCTGAATGTACAAGTGTAACCTGGGCAGGCTACCTCGGGTAAGTAACTCAGAAAAATAAGCCCATTTAGACCACTACTGTTTACTTTATTTTCCACTATTTGTAGCAAAGCATATCTGAACAGATGTATCTACACAGAAACAAGGGAATTTTGTTTTGTATTTTGAGACAGGTCTCAAGTACCCCAAGCTGGCCCTAAACTTAATTAGTATGGACAATCTTAGTTGAGGACAATCTTGAAATGTTGATCCTCCTGCCTCTTCCCTCCAATTCTGGGGTTACAGGCATGCATCGCTATCCCTGGTTTTATATATGGTGAGTGCTGGGCAAGCACTCGCACTCTACTAACTGAGCTACATCTCCAGACCCCAACACAAGACACAAAACTCTTAGGGAAGGAAAGGTCACAAACAGAGGCTAAGGACGCATGCTCCTTTTAGCAGCACATGAATGCCAGTAGACAATAGAACAATGCAGGACACACCCAGCCACAATATAAACCAAGTATGGATTACTGGTTTTTTTTAAGATACCAGGATAAATATGTAACTGAGATTCTAATGCAATGGACTCCCAACCTATCCTGTTTAAAAACAAAAAACAAAAACAGAGTTGGCTCAGTGGTTAACAGCACTTGCTGCTCTTCCAGAAGCTACAAGTTCAATTCCTAGCACTGCTATCAGATGGTTCTCAAATACCTCCAGTGGTTCTAACACCCTCTTCTAGTATCTGTAAGAGGAACCCATGCTGTACACACACACACCTGCGCATGGGTACGTACACATTTGCGCACATGCACACACACACACACACACACACACACACGCAAATGTAACATTTTGTAATAAAATTCTTTTTAAAAAATTAAAGCAACATACCTTTGTAAGGATGGTTTTACCATAATTTTTTGTACTAGTCAGACCACTATTCAAATAGATATTTTTCTTCCCACCTGGGCTGTAGTAAGCTAAAGGAAAAAGGAAACAGACAAAAAATGTCTCTTAAACACAGAACTGAAACATAACTCATCAGTCTTCTCTTTCGACTCTCTCAGGGTCATGACAGCACAAATGAGACTTTACCTTTTGGGCAAACCCCTCCATGACTGTTTGCTCTGGGAGAACCCACGTAAGCTAAGCCAAGAGTTCCCATATCAAAATCCTGGTATGTGAAAAGATGAGCCAGGCAGACTTTAGACGCTTCTTCAGCTATGTCAAAGCTAAATTGCTTTAAAGAGAGAATACAGTATTCTTAATTAGACTGCCATTATGCCAGAGTCAGGGTGCACATTACAGAACAGCTGTGGCTCTGCATGAGCACCTACAAGTCCCCGCACCCAACAGGCTTGCTTTGCCTGGGTCACACCATACAGCAGATAGGAAGCACAGGTCATGGGGTGTAGGCAGCAAGCACTCAGGCAGCTTTTCATCCACTCTGAATTCACGGTTCCTCCCCAGAGACCTAGTCAGATCGGAGCAGCCCAGTCCCAGAGCCTGCATCCCCACGCTACACCAGGTCAAAGTATCTCAAGAGCTTAACACATTGTGGAGGGATTATTTTATTTTTAATTATTTGGGCTGGGAAAGATTTTTGTTTGAACTTTATAAATTATAACTATAAAAAATTATTTTAAAAATCTACAAATGTAAGTTTATGGAAAAGCAGACATACTTAGTCATATGGTACTAAACCAAAGATTAAAAGTCATTTTAAAGGACACTGCAGATTAATTCCCCAACCTCTACCCTGCTCCACACCCCATGGCCTTACTTCAGTCTCTTATTTTTCTACCCTAACAATCTAAACACTTGAAGTTTAAACAAAAATCATAACTTTTAGAAATGTTTAATGCCAGCCCTTGAGAGGCAGAGGCACAGTCCTTTGGCAACAGAGTGACTGAGGACTGAGGCTCCAGGACTTCTCTGGGGGCTGAGGGTAAAAAAAAGGAAGGTAAATATGTTTGGGCACACAGGAAGCAGTGTGGTGGGTCAGCTGTCTCAACAATCAGGTAGTCTGACTGCTCAGCCTTACCACTATGACTAGCTCAAGACATCTATACCTGATGAGTGGGCCTAACTGTGTTCACCACAAGCTCATATATTGATGTTCTAGTCCTGACCAACTCGGAACACAGCTGTATTTGGAGACAGAGCCTTTACAGAAGGAAGGGAGGTCCAGTGAGGACATATTCACAGGCCCTAATTAGATGACAGGTCTCCTTACAAAGTGACTTTGGAGGAAGATCTGTTCAGTTGTTGCTTTGCAACGCTGGGAACTAATCCAGGGCCACAAGAATGCTAGCCATACGGGAACTGCATTTCCAGCATTACTCACATATGTTTTCATGAGGAGATAAGAACACAGACATACACAGAGGGAGACATCAATATGCTCCATCATGAAGAGAGGTCTAAGCAGAAACCAAACCTGTCGATACCTCTAGTTTGTACTGCTGCTTTCCAGAACTAGGAGAAAATAAATGCCAGTGGCTTAGGCCTCCCAGGCACTCTGCTAGCAGGAGTGGAGCTGAATCACATTTGCTGAGACTTATCCCAAAAGCAGTAATATGAGCACCTTTGATCCCAGCACTCGGGAGGCAGATGCAGTGGATCTCTGAGTTGCAGACCAGCCTGGTCTACAGAGCGAGTTCTAGGTCAGCCAGGGCTACACAGAGAAACCCTGTCTGAGAAAAACAAAAGAAAACAAAAAGATACTGTCTCAATCTCCCTCAAGGTGGCTGGCAGATCAATTTACATAAACCAGTAGTATACAGACACAGCACATAATGGGTCATAATCTGGGGGGGAAATGATACAAGCCTTTAATTCCATTCAAGATTGAAACTTCATTTTGGTCTTGTGGGGTACATAAGCAAAAAATCCATATTAGCCCACTCTCTGAACCAATACACTGAGACCACGAGATTCAAAAACAACCACACAAATGTTCCAAGCTGTTAAATTTGTAGCATTCGTTACAGCAGCATACATCCAGTATAGAAAGGCAATTTATAATAAAGAAGTGATACGCACAGCCAGACGCTGGAGTTATGCTGCAGTACACGAAGATAAGAATGCACACAGGGTGCTAACACTTTTCAAACTTATTACCAGAATGAAGATAAAATGTTTAAATGTCTACAGATCTCAAGTTATGCTTGTACTGGTCAATACATATTCACAGCGTCTTTGTTAAATACTGTCCTACAAGACTTGTGGGCAAGTTTCAGAGTCAGGAGGCACAAAGCAGTGAAAGCCTACACACTGACCATTCACGTTATTTTCCAGAGAGGAACCACTCTGCTGAATTAGATGCTCAAAGACGCTACGGTTTCTACCACACTCCTTCACTAGTACAGACGCAGCCACCCACTAGAAGCTGAAAACTGTGCAGAGGGAGCATGACCTACCTCTAGCAACAACTTCACATCCCAAGCATCTTTTTCTTCGTCTGGGTAACTTTTTGCCATATTGAAGTGTTTTTCACCAGGCTTTACCTCTTGTGGCGACTTGAGAATTCGAATCTATACTTAAGAGAGAACATACTTAGAACAATTCCAAAGCATCCTAAGACTTTTACTTCATTATTTCATCACTGCAAAACAAGAGCACTTTGCCAGGCATTATGGTGCACACCTTTAGTCCCAGGACTTCAAAGGCAATGGCAGACAGATCTCTGAGCTAGCCCAGTATACATAGTGTGTTCCAAGACAGCCAGCGCTGTTTGGAGAGACCCTTTCTCAAAAAAACCAAAACCAAAACCAAACCTGCCGATACCTCAGCAGCTAAGTGCCCTTGTTCTTACTCAGGGCACGTAAAATTTGATCCCCAGTACCCACATGCAAGTTCACAACCTTCCATATCTTTAAATAAAAAAGTTTTCATTAAAAAAAAAAATCAGCATCTATGTGACTCAGAATAGGGTAATCTGGGTTACATAGCCAAAGCCTAGCTCAAAATCTAAACACAAAACCATACACATGCACTCACATACATACACACATATACTCTAGTGCGCACACACAAACAACTCATCTACTCCTATTAAAAAATGTCTTATAACCCTTAATTCTTTAGCTCAAATATTCAAGGTCGAAAACAAACTGAAGTTTATGGTGTAGAAAAAACAAGTCAAAGAATTATGTATAAAGTTATAAATACTAAAATTTCACATATATTTGAAAAAAGTGAGAACTAAGCCTACATGAACCTAAGATATTTATTACAGTTATAGTCAATAACTCAAAAATGAAGGATTGGGATCCTTCTGTACATCACTTCTGTACCGTAAGTGTAGCAGAGAGCTCCTCTTTGCATGTTTCAGAGAAATTCCTATTAAACCCACTAAGAAGAAAGGAAAGGTTCTGATCAGAGACTTGCGGACAAGGATGGAAGCCGTGCTGGGCTCAGCCGTCTCTGGCCTCCCTTCTGTCTACACCGACCTTCCTAGGGAAGGTCAAGGTCAGTTCTGATAAGAATCAACGGGAAGACATGGCTACACACCTAAATTACATCCTCCAGCTCACCTAGAATGGATTAAAGAAGTTGGCATTTCTGTTTCCTATATTGCTATTATTCCTCAATTGTTTCCAGGTTCCTAAGGCAAAAAGGAATAATTTACTAATCTCTAAAATCCTGCTTAGTTTTTTTATAGCTCTTTTTGTAAGTTTTCTTATAGTTTTTATAGCTAAACATACTATACCGATTTTAATACCAATAAGTCTACTTTACATTATCAATAGGGAATTCTTTTTTTTTTTCAATAGGGAATTCTATCCAACATGATGTAAAATAAAAAGCCAAAGAGGGCCAAGAGTACACAGTATATTGCCAGTGTGTTAAATACAGACTTACCTGTACACGTATAACACACATGCATGTCATCTCCGGGAAAATACGCCCTGACTGACCTAGAACTCAGTATTTAGACCAAGCTGACTTTGCCTGACAAGAACTAGAATTATAGGCATGCACCACCATGTCAAGGTAAGTGATTCTTTTTCTTTAGTAGTTTGCCTTGTATTTTGCTTTTCAAGATAAGGTTTCTGTGCAACCCCCGGCTATCTTGGAATTAGCTTTGTAGACCAGGCTGGCCTTGAACTCACAAAGATCCACCTGCCTCTGCCTCCTGAGTGCTGGGATTAAAGGTGTACACCACCAACGCCCAGATGTTTGACTTTTTTTGATTTTTAATCTCTCAATTGTACACAATATAACCTGTAAGACTTTATGGTTTAATACAAAGAACCTGGAAACATTATTCATAATTATATCAAAATATGTATTTTTCCAAAGCAATACTCAATTTCTGAACCACCGAGGTCAATTTTTACTAGAAGTCTAAAGACTGAAGCATAATCAGAGGAAAAAGTAAACACTATAGGAAATGAAAGAGCTATAATTAACAAATGAGAAGATACTAATCTGATGAAGGTGATCAACGCAATATGGAATATAATATATTTATTCACATACAAGATGAGGACCGAAAGCGTGGTGAGCTTCCAGACGATGAGACGAGAAGAAGATTAATTTCTCTTTCACTTCCTTTTATCCTAAATTTCCTTATCCCCGCCCTTAGGGTGAACACCCCCTACAATTCCCCTTTTAGTCTAAATAGAAGATTTAAATTTGATACAAACTCAAACATATACAACATATATATATAAGAGGATGATAAGTAAGTTATAATCTACTTACATCCTAAGCTAAACATATCTATTAGATCTAAATTCTAAACTAGCATTAAGGTTTCATTCCTAAAATAACCCTCAGGACAGAAACTTTACCATCTAGGATTGCATGCCAAAAACACAACACAATTTATGATTTTTTTAAAAAAAATCACAAATGAAAATATTTATGATTCATGTTAAGGTAGGTTTAGGATTTTGGAAAAAAATAAAAATGTTATATAGATCCTCATGGATCAACACAAGGTCTACTATTGATAAATACCTGTTCTATCTGTACTCCATAACCTTTAAATCCTGCATTGTCCCACGAAGTGTTTCGGTATATGTCATCAACTCGGTCAATTAGCTCTATCTGTGGATGTAAAGCATGAAGTTATGTAGAATGCTACCACACATGGCAATATAACAAAACCTAATGGAATATGCATCCAATGGAAGGAAATGCAAGACCTGCATCAAGAAACTAACCTTTATTACTAATGGGTCTATCGAAGAAGGTACCCTAGAGCCAAACTTGAAACACTGCTACAAGAATGTTATACCTTGGGCTTTTTAAATACTGCTCCTCCAGTCAACTATGAAAGAGAAACGTCAACTCTGATTTATCAGAAAATCTAAGAAGCTGCCAGTCTTTACTGTGTCAAGATTGCCTTAAATGTGGCCCTAGAACAGGTAAAATGGTGATACTGCTCCCCCCCATGTTTTTTCTGATGGGAGAGAATACATGTATGTGTATGCATGTTTTCTGTGTGAAAGGACACATATGTTTGCATACACGCACTTGCTTATGTGCACATGATAGAGGCAGAGCATAATCACTACATCAGAAAGAACAAGCTGGGCGTTGGTGGCTCACACCTCTAATCCCAGAACTCAGGAAGAAGAGGCAGGCAGATGTCTGTGAGTTCAACACCAGCCTGGTGTACAGAGAGAATTCCAGGACAATCTCCAAAGCAGAGAAACCCCAGCTCGGAAAAAAAAAAAAAAAAAAAAAAAAAAAGAAAGAAAGAAAGAAAGAAAAAGAAAAGAACAACAAAGAGGAGTGCTTATTTGTTCAAAAATGGGTTAACTGGTTTCTTCCAGTTATGCAGAAATTGTTGTTTAAGTATTGATGAGAAATGCACTTTGAAAAAGTTGACCTTACACTGGGCAATGGTGGTGCTGGTGGCGCACGCCTTTAATCCCAGCACTTGGGAGGCAGAGGCAGATGGATCACTGTGAGTTTGATGTCAGCCTGGTCTACAGATAGAGTTCCAGGAAAGTCAGGGCTACACAGAGAAACCCTGTCTCAAAAAAAAAAAAAGTGGACCTCACAGCATTCTCTCATATTCATGGTATACAATACGAAGAAGTAAAATACAAGGAGTCCTTTCATACAAACCCAGAGGAGAATTAATTCTTGCTAGGAACAAGAATCACAATGGTTCCCGCTATTCCCCTACAACAGATCCCACTCTTTTCCTAACAGATTCATACATGTGACAGAAGAGAAGGAGAGGAGGCTGAGGGAGGACTGGAATGGAAGGGAGACAGTGGGAAAGAGGGCAATGAGGAAACAGTCTTTAGCATGGGCTGCTGGTTCATGAACAGTTGCATTCTCTCTTACTCCCTCAATGACAACATTTTAATCAGTGCCAAGTCATCAAAGATGAATGGGGTCATGCTGAGAAAAAAGAATCCTGGAAAAAGTCATTTGCTTGACTTTAAAAACGTAGTAGCTAATGCTAGAAGTTCCATATCAGGCTGGGGTATAGCTTAGTGCAAGGACAGGCCCTTGCTTAGCAGGCACAAGGCCCTGGGTTTGATCCCCAGGACTGAAAGAAAAAAATAATCAAGTATGAACATCTCTTTAATCTTTCCTTCCTATCTCTGCCCTAGGGTTAACCATGGCTATGAGTGTCTCACTTATTTCATATTCCATCCTAGGGTTAACCATGGCTATGAGTGTCTCATATTCCATCCTAGGGTTAACCATGGCTATGAGTCTCATATACTATCCTAGGGTTAACCATGGCTATGAGTGCCTCACTTATTTCATATACTATCCTAGGGTTAACCATGGCTATGAGTGTCTCATACACTATCCTAGGGTTAACCATGGCTATGAGTCTCATATACTATCCTAGGGTTAACCATGGCTATGAGTGTCTCATATTCCATCCTAGGGTTAACCATGGCTATGAGTCTCATATACTATTCTAGGGTTAACCATGGCTATGAGTGCCTCACTTATTTCATATACTACCCTATCTCCTTAACGTGACAATGACAAAACCTCTGTGGAATACAGACACAAGCAGAAAATGCACACAAGTTCATACACATACCTATTTTTTACTCTGAAGCATAAACCTATACATGCTATACTAACATTTGGGTTTTTTTTTTTATATATTTATCTATTATGTATACAGTGTTCTGCCTGCATGTATCTCTGCATGCCAGAAGAGGGCATCAGATCTCATTATGGATGGTTGTGAGCCACCATGTGGTTGCTGGGAATTGAAATCAGGACCTCTGTAAAAGCAGTCAGTGCTCTTAACCTGAGCCATCTCTCCAGCCCCCATTCTAACATTTGTAAAGAGCTCACTTGTATAAATGTTCCCCTAATTAGTCTGTAGAAGTCTAATGTTCAAAAAATAGTAATTTTAGAGCAAAATGCACTCTCAAAATGTTGAAAGTATAGTTTCTATATAGAAATGTAAGATCCTCAGTCACCCAGTATCATCCAATACTTACTAAGTAATTGGTGGTGGTGCTCTCTTCTCCTCGGCCCATGTATTTATAAAATCGATGATCTGCTACCACCAGTAATTTACAAGTATTCTTCAAGGGGTTAGGTTCAGCTCGTCTCTTCACTCGATGAACAAACTCTAATATGAATTTGTATGCACTATTAAATTAAAATTCATCAAAACAAGGAGGGTTTTTATAATAACACTTAGTTCTAACATGTTTCTGAAATAAACATTACTTAAGTTTAATTAATATCATTAAAGGTATCTTTTTCTTTTCCAGGGGAAAGAGTGGAAACAGGATCTCTCACAACAGCCTTGACAGATCTTGAACTCACTATGTAGGCAAGAATGACCTTCAACGAAGGAGGCTCAAGTTTTAATGTATGGTTACCTTATTATTATTCAAGATACCATTAAGGACAAATATGACAGTACATAACTATTATCTTGGTACTTGGGAGGTGGAAGCAGGAGGATCATAGAGTTGAAGGTCATCCTTGGGTATATAGTGAGTTCAAGATCAGTTCCAGGTAGGAACTGAAGCAGAGACCACGGAAAATTGCTACTTATGGTATCACCCCAAGGCACGTGGTTGTGGATTATTTAAAAAAAAAAAAAAAAACAAAGCTAAGCCTGTTTTAGTAGTGCAAACCCTTAATCCCAGAACTCTCTGGTGACAGAGGCAGGAAGATCCCTAAATTCAAGGCTAGCCTGCTTTACAAATTCCAGGACAGCCAGGGCTACACAGAGAAAAAACCCTGCCTTGAAAAACAAGCAAACAAACAAGCCCAGGGAGCCATAAGATGTTAACCAAATTATCAGCAATTCCCCATGATCTCTGCTTCAGTTTCTGCCTTAAGTTCCTACCCTGACTTCTCTTTATAATGGACTGTAAGCTATAAAATAAAATAAAATCTTTCCTCCAATAGTTGCTTTTGGTCATGGTGTTTATCACAGCAATAGAAAGCACACTAAGACAATGATACTTGTCCGTCTGGGAGCCTCACTAAAGTGAATAGAAGCAAAATCACCAGTACATCTTTTTCAATGAAATTGTGTACATACATAACCACAAATACATCTTTATAATAGAAAGTACAAAAGGTTAGTCTTTGCTAACAAAACGTTTCTTATCAAATAATTTAATAGTGTAAGAATTATTTATCAGGTGGTGGTTTAATCCCAGCACTTAGGAGATAGAGACAGGTGGGTCTCTGTGAATTCAAGGCCAGTCTGGTCTACAGGAGGAATTCCAGGACAGTCAGGATTGCACAGAAAAATACTGTCTCAAAAAAAAAAAATAACAAAATGAATATCAAAGAATAGCCCCCAAAACAGTTTTTTTTTTGTTTTAAATGACCCCAAATTGATAGCTTTTGTGTATTTCAAACACCATAAAGCTCTCTTCCCACCCAATTAATCTCTTACAAGTGCTAAAGACTACTTTTTTGTTTTGTTTTGTTTTTTGAGATAAGGTTTCTCTGTGGCTTTGGAGACTGTCCTGAAACTAGCTCTTGTAGACCAGGCTGGTCTCGAACACACAGAGATCCACCTGCCTCTGCCTCCCGAGTGCTGGGATTAAAGGCGTGCACCACCATGCTGGCTTAAAGACTACTTTTCAAAAATAGTATTTTCATATTTCTGAAGGTTTACAAGAACTTCCCTTAAATCATTTCACTGTCTCTTTCCTCAGTCTTTTAAGACAATTATTGCTTCGCCTATTTTTTTCTACTGTTTAACCATTACACAACAGAAAAAAAATTAAAAGTTTCTATAACAAAACTATATTTCCAAATACTAGAGTTACTTAATAACATTCTATTTTTATCAATTAACAAATTGGAAACCTCTGTGATGTGCTTTTGTCATGTCTGAAATGTATTTTTTTTAATATTTTATTTATTTATTGTGTATACAGTCTTCTGCCTGCACGCCAGCGGAGGGCACCAGATCTCATTCAAGATGGTTGTGAGCCACCATGTGGCTGCCGGGAATTGAACTCAGGACCTCTGGAAGAACAGTCAGTGCTCTTAACTGCTGAGCTATCTCTCCAGCCCCCTGAAGTATATTTTAAGTCTTACCTTCAGATGGCTGTCTGTCTATGAGCCCTTCTGGAAGCAACTCTTCACTATCCGCTTTTAAATAGCCACATACTTTTGGAGATTGCAAACGTGAAACATCCTTGATATCTTCAGACTTATAAACTAACATTCTTTTATCTTTAGTATCATTGACAAACCTCCAAAGCGGCTAAAAAAGAAAACATGTATGATGAAATAGGAAAAAAACAGTAAATAAAATTCTCACAACACTCTTTTTTTCTTGGGCAATACTATTTCTTAGAGAATTGCTTGCTTTAACTTATAGTTTCTATGCCATAAATAAATTCAATTATTTACTATTTTATGCATATTTCTATACAAGCTTGCAAAGAAGAAAAATGTCTTATCCTTTTCCATAAATAATTCCATTTTAAATAATTTTGCAATTCCTACCCTAACTCCAGCATTATTACAGGTAGTCACGCTGCAGTGATGTGAAGCAACACACCTATGCATGCGGTACCTTTAACATTCAGACATGCAATGTCTTTTTATCATGATAGGTTTTACACAGAGCAAAAGCCTTCTTATAAGAAACGACTGGATACTTTTTTTTTTTTTTTTTTTTTTTTTTTTTTGGTTTTTCGAGACAGGGTTCCTCTATATTGTCTTGGAGCCTGTCCTGGAACTCACTTGGTAGACCAGGCTGGCCTCGAACTCACAGAGATCCGCCTGCCTCTGCCTCCCAAGTGCTGGGATTAAAGGCGTGCGCCACCAATGCCAGGCTATGACTGGATACTTAACAATGTGCTTGACCCTGCTATCAGTTTCAGGAAAAGCAGACTTTTTTTTTTATTCATTTTAATGTGCAATTTCAACCTCAGCACGAGATCTAAATGACTGCATGATAGCATGGCTCCACCACAGTCAACACAACTCACTCAAGTCAGCAGGGCTGCTTCCATTGTTACAAAACCAATTTTCTGCAAATACACTGATCTCAGCTGTGAAGAATGTAAAAAGAATTTTAAACACAGATGTGTAAGAAAATGAATGCGTAAAGACACCAGCATGGCTATCATCAGACATGCTGGTGAGACTGTAGAGAAATGAACCCTATACATACTGCTGAGAATGCTAAGGCCCTAACACAGGAGGACTCAATCTCAGAAACAAAGGAAACAACACAACAATGAAAACCTCAGACTGGTCACCTAGACCACTCCAGTTAAACATATACACCCAAAAGTGTGTTCACAGCTGTTCATTCTAGAACATTCCACTTCAAGAAATTAAAGCAGAGGACTGGGAAACACTTCATTTAGATCTATATTAACCTGAGAAGATATGAATAATTATATTGTTAAGTGAAAAAAAGTTTGATGACAAACTATTTTCTTTTTTTTTTTGTGCCCCCCCCCCCAACAAACTATTTTCTAAACCCAGTTTTGCACAGGAAAAACAATCTGGACAGCCACACTTAGTATGCATATGCACACAGAAAAAGCACTAGAAAAATATTCCCGAAACGTGTTGTCTAAGTATGCATATCAACCAGGATGAAGAGGTCCTGGGCTCTATGCCGAGCACCGCAAGCAATGCAGCAGCACAACTACAGCATTTTGGATTTTTATTTAAGTTTCTTAAAGCACCCTGGGTCTCCCTATGTAGTTCAAACTGGCTCACAGCTCACTATGTAGCCCAGGCTGGCCTTGAGCATACAGTGATTCACCCTGCCCCTGCTGTCCCAAGTGCTAAACAGAAAACTCATGGTAACCTTCGCCTCCCACGTGGGGTTATAGATGTGACCTACCTTACCTAATAGCTTTAACATTGTAAAACAACCAAAAATCTCCTTAGAAATCAGAGACAAGCTACTGAAAGAGAGACAACTTCAATGGAAGGAAAGAAGGCAGGAACAGAGGCAGAAGGATCAGGAGTTCAAGGCCAACCTCAGTTACATAGCCAGTTAGAGGCCATCATGGACTACAAGAGACCCTCTCTCAAACCCCTATCCCCAAATACAACCCTCCCTCTTAAATATATACAGACTTACCTCTATGTTATACTCTGCCCCATCTGTGTTGATTCTTACTGTAATATCATCATCTCCTATGTGGGCTAGAACCCTAGAGTCAGGTTCACCTTGGGGGGAAAAAAGAAGGTATTTTTATTATCAAAACTATGTGTATTAGAGTCACGCAGCGATGGCACACACCTTTAGTCCCAGCACTTGAGAGGCAGAGGGAAGCTTTAGAGGCCAGCCTGGTCTACAAAGTGAGTTCTAGGATAGGCAGGGCTACTCAGAGAAACCCTGTCTCTAAAAAACAAACAAACAAAAACAAAAAAATACGCCGGGCATTGGTGGCGTATGCCTTTAATCCCAGCACTTGGAAGACAGAGGTAGGTGGATCTCTGTGAGTTCGAGGCCAGCTTGGTCTACAAGAGCTAGTTCCAGGACAACCTCCAAAGCCACAGAGAAACCCTGTCTCTAAAAAACAAACAAAACAAACAAACAAAAACAAAAAAATACTTGTATCAGGACCAGCAAAATGGGTCAGGATTTTCTATCAAGCCCGATGACCCTAAATAGAAAAGTAAAAAGCAAACCAAGCAGGTTTCGGTTGGGTGCTTCACACTATCTGGAGGCTGATGAGGGATGGAATGAAGTGTGCATGGGCTACATTAAGAGGGAGGGAGGGAAGGAGGGAAGCTCGCTAAAAGACATGTTAAATATGTATGCCCTCCTATTAGACAGAATGTTTCTACTTCCAAACATACATAGCTCAAAAAAAAAAAAGGCTATCACACCTCTTTCCTTACCCATCCATATGAGAGAGAGAGAGAGAGAGAGAGAGAGAGAGAGAGAGAGAGAGAGAGAGAGAGAGAGAGAGAGAGAGAGAGAGAGAGAGAAAGAGACAGAGACAGAGACTTTGTAAGTAAGCTAAAGCTGGATGGAGACTGATGACAGTTTAAATCTAAAAATGCCCCTAAAGATCTGTGTGTTCAAAGCTGAGTTGGCAGTTAGATTTTTGAAAGGTGAGTCTAACTTCATCAAGGGATTGGTCCACGGGTGACTAACTGGTAACTGAATGACTAATGAGGAGGTGGATTCTACTTGGGAAACGTCAGTCATGGGGACGCCTTTGAAGGACGTGAGCTGCCTCTTCACCACAGGCTTCTGCTACCATGATGGCCTGTCTCACCTCAGATCAGAGCATCGTGAACCAAAACCTTGCAAACCATGCGCTGAGGTAAGCCCTTCCCTTTCGTCTGTCAGGAATCCCATCGCTGATGAGAGTGATGAGCACAAGGCACAACAGCCCAGGAGCACGCAGGGCACAAGGCCAGCCCATACTCACCAACCACATGCCCGCTGAAGAAGTCCTGCCATTTCACGCTGTACTCGCTCTCTTCTTTCCCGTCCACCACCACGACTCTCAAGTTTTGTGAAAAGCGCTCAGTACTTGATGTCAGGTATAATTTAAAATGCCTGAAGAGAGAGTGCATTCACACTTTAGACATAAAACAGAGGCTAATTTCCATTTCCCTCTGATCTAGAAGAGAGGAGATGAATACATCTCTACCCAAGTTATAATAATATTCTTTTTCAGGATTTATAACATGTGCTCACTTCAGCAGCATATACACCAACATTAGAAAGATACAGAGAGGATTAGCATAACCCCTGCACAAGGATGATATGCAAATTTGTGAGGAATTCCATATTTTTTTCCTCAGGAAAAAATATATTTTCTCCATTACTCTGTGTGTGAGCATATGTACATGCAAATGAGTGCCCAGGGAGGCCAGAAGGAAGTGTTGGATTCCCTGAAGCTTGAGTTACAAGTGGTTGTAAGCCACCCAACATGGGTGCTGGGAAACTCCATTCTCCTGCAAAGGCAGCAAGTGCTTTAACCACCAAGGCATCTCTCCAGACCCACAGCAGCTAACAACTTACTAGGTACATGTAGCATTATTTCTCCTGTAAAGACAAATGGACTAACTGGTTTAGTTATAAAACCATAACAGAACAAAAGAAACTCATTGTTTTTCTTTTTTTTTCCCCATGACAGGGTTTCTCTGTGTAACTGTCCTGGCTGTCCTGGAACTCTTTCTGTAGACCAGGCTGGCCTCAAACTCAGAGTTCTGCCTGTCTCTACCTCCCAAGTGATGGGAACTAAAGAAGTGTGTCACCCCCACCTGACTACAGAAACTCATTTTAAAATGGTCTTTAGGGCTGGAGAGATGGCTCAGAGGATAAGAGCACTGACTGCTCTTCCAGAGGTCCTGAGTTCAATTCCCAGCAACCACATGGTGGCTCACAACCATCCATAATGAGATCTGGTGCCCTCTTCTGGCCTTCAGGCATGCATGCAGATAGAACCCTGTTCACAGCTCTCGGGTGATGTCACCAAATATTTCCTGCCTCCATTCTGAAGGCTGTTTGAGCTTCACACACCTGCATTTCTGAGTATTACGTAATCCATTTTTGGCAAAAAAACAAAAAAAGTACTGTTACATTAAGTACATCTGTGTATCCTGCTTAAAAATGTGTAATTTTAAAAAGATAAACCTTCATATTCTGTATAGTCAAAAAAAAAGGAAGAAAAAAGAAAAAGAAAAGAAGGAAGAAAGAAACTCATTAACTAATTCCCGGGGAATGAGGGTAAAGATTATGCATTTATCTTTCCTGAAAACTGACTAATAAGGACACACGTGTGGACAGCTAAGACTGAAGTTGGGTGTTTCGATTATCTCAGACATTACTATTAAAGAATGCTATATGCTGTTACTTTTATCTACCTGCTCTTAAGATAGTCTGCGCATTAGCTCTACTTCCCAAAAGTGAAAGCTGGGGTCCCCACAGTTACACACTCATGGTTACACAGGTAGGCAACTGTGAAACTGAACAATGGGTTTGTATCCCACTGCTTCTAGAAACCAATATCCTATGGAAAAACTCTTACTACTGTGTAAAATTACCAAAACGCTGCTTCTGGGTTTATTTAAAAGAGCCCATGGTTTTTTCCTCCTCAACAGAACCCACCTTGAAAGACAGTAATGCATAATTACTACTAGGGAAGTAGATACTAAGTGTAGACATTAAAATACATACATTCCAGTTCTTTATATGGTTTAATACTTTAAAGCATTATCATTATGAAAAATAAAACCTGGGGTTGGTGAGCTGAACTTTGTTAATATTTACAGAGACCTTTCAATGTGCCCACTAATACTCAAGGCAAAGCAAGATGTTATTCATCTAACCATAGGAACAAATTTTGTCAGCTATGGTGTTGAAAATATGAAATGTTACTTCCCTGTGGGTCTGCATAAATCTCTCAACTGCCAGGAAGAAACCAGACTGGGGCTGTCTCCAGAGCAACAAGTATTTTTAACTTTTTGAACATACAAGGTAATTTTAGTTTTGCTTATATATTTTTGATGGTCAGAGAGACACAGTACATCATTTCATAAAACCTTGGCTCATTTCCTTTGCTATCCAAAACTGTGCCTTCTTTCCTCATTCATTATCACTAATGTTCTTTCCACTTTGGTTATGATGGACTCGGAAAAGAAAAGCACCCTATTACAAACGCCCTGTTCACAGTTAAAGCTCTCCTGGGCTGTAACAGTGTCTCTAATGTTCTTCCTAGCAAAGTCCCAGGAACTGCATTCTGGGTTTTCTGCACTAAGAACCTACTGTCAGAACTGGGGAGACTGGCTCTGGCTGGTCAGTGGTGGTGCACGCCTTTAGTCCTAGTACTTGTGATTGTGAGTTCGAGGCCAGCCTGGTCTACTGAGCAAGTTCCAGGACAAGCTCCAAAGCTACAGAAAAACCCTGTCTCCAAAAAAAAAAAAAAAGAAAAAAAGAAAAAAAAATCAGAGGACATCTTTGGACCACCCAATGGACCAGAACTGACACAATAACAGAGAACCACATCTTTTTTTTTTTTTTTTTTTTTTTTTTTGGTTTTTCGAGACAGGGTTTCTCTGTGGCTTTGGAGGTTGTCCTGGAACTCGCTCTGTAGACCAGGCTGGCCTCAAACTCACAGAGATCCGCCTGCCTCTGCCTCCCGAGTGCTGGGATTAAAGGCGTGCGCCACCAACGCCCGGCTCAGAGAACCACATCTTAACCAGCACTGCTTAATCGTAAGTCTCTCTTTCCCCATGACCCAGTGTTTTCTCTGCTTAGACGTAAACCTCATGTTGGAACCTAGAAGATGAATTTGATGGTCCACGGACCCCTTCTTACTGATGTGTGTATGTGTTTCACCACTGACTCTTTAACTAGAGTACTAAATGGATGGAGCCTAGGCTTTTGGGGCTACTTGAGCTGGGGGTTTTGCCCTAAAAAACATTGGCAACACTATGCATGTTTATTTTTATGTGAAAAAGACTTATCTTGTGAATTAAAAAAAAAAAGCTAATTTATATTCCCCTACTACTTTTTAACATATTCTTTCTTATGTGTGTCTATTTGTACTAATGAGGCTGCTGGGAATCGAACTGGGTACCCTGCAAGAGCAGTCAGTGCTTTCAACCAGAGCTATCTCTCCAGTCCCATCCTATTGCCCTTCTGTCAGTTCAGACCCCAGCACCCACACTGGGGGCTCACAAGAGCCTGTCACTCCAGCTCTAAGGGATCAGACACTAGTACACACCCGAGGCACTAGCACACAAAAACAGTAAAACAAATAATTTAAAATTTTTAAAATAGGAGCTGGAGAGACAGCTCAGCGGTTAAGAACACTGACTGCTCTTCCAGAAGATCCAGGTTGGATTCGCAGCACTCACATCATAGCTCACAGACCTCTGTAACTCCAGTCCAATGCCCTCTTCTGACCTCTGAAGGCACCAAGCGCATACATGGTATACAGACATACATCCAGGCAAGACACTCATACCAAACAATGACTAAAAAATGTAAACTATCAAGTATTATAAGCATTTGAATAATAAAATGGTTAGGATTCTATAAACTATTGGGATACTCATTTCCTTTAAAATACTGATAAAATTTTTAAATATTTTAAAATAGGCAATAAACATGTTAGAGTCACACATACAGTAATTACATCAAGTACAAATCTTGAAGAAGTATTTTCCCAAGATTTCTTTTTTTTTTTTTTTTTTTTTTTTTGGTTTTTCGAGACAAGGTTTCTCTGTGGCTTTGGAGGCTGTCCTGGAACTCACTCTGTAGACCAGGCTGGCCTCGAACTCACAGAGATCCGCCTGCCTCTGCCTCCCGAGTGCTGGGATTAAAGGTGTGCGCCACCAACCCCCGGCTTTTCCCAAGATTTCTATAGATACCTTTTACTGCTTTTGTCAAAACAAGCCCCACCCTCACTCACACTGTCCCAATATAACTGTGTGTATAATTCTAATTACCTTTTCAAAGCTGAAAAAGTTAGCAGTGTTTCTAAGTGTGTTGCAGACTGTAGGTCCCTTTTCCTTACGGAGTGCTGCTGGATATTAGACAAAGAGAGGATATCGTAGTCTGAGAGCAAAGAATCAAGCTTCTCTGAAATAAAGGTAAAAAATTATTAGAGGCTGGATCGACAGCTCGGTCACTTAACAACATTTGCTACTCGGTCATGAGGACCTAAACTCAAATTCCAGTAGACATATCAGAAACACCCGTGACTCCAGCTCAATGGGATCTAAAGCTGCCTTCTGGACTCTGTGGGCACCCACGCATACAGCCACACAGACACAATTTAAAAAACGTATCTTTTTTAAAGGATTATAGAAGCTGAAGGGGTGGTTCAGCAGTGAAGAGCACTGGCTGTTCTTCCAGAGAACCTTGGTTCAAATCCCAACACCATCTGTAATTGCAATTTCAAGGAGAAGAATCCAAGGCCCTCTTGTGCCCTCCATGGGTACCAGGTATGCACATGGTATACACACATACATACATATATACATACATACATACATACATACATACATACACACACACCCACATACATACATACATGTAAAACATTCACAGAATAAAAGTAAACAAATATTTAACAGATCAATAAAGGTTGCCAGGGGCTGAAGAGAGGGATTAGCAGTTAAAAGCATTTTTTCTTGCACAGGAAGACCACCACACGGCAGCTCACAACCATCGATAAATCTAGGTCCAGGGAATCTGACACCCTTTTCTAACCTCCACTGGCACAAACCACACACATGGTACGCATACATACATACAGGTATAACATTCATACACATAAAGATAAAGTAAATAACTTTAGGTTTTGAGCTCTTAAACCTAGAGTCAATTGAGGCAGACAATAAGCTGAAGTGCTCAAATGCGTAGCACAACAAATCACGTTCTTACCAAAAAAAAAAAAAACAAAAACAAAAAAAAACCTGAGCTTAATAAAGATCTAAGTTCAAACTCTTAGGATATAAAAGGTTCAGATGCTGCCAAGTCAAATAACTCATGAAGGAAACCATCAGCCACACCTAGAAGTTAGATTCCAGCAGAACAAATGACCCAGTTTCCCCTGGAAGAAGGGAGAGGCAAGGAGGTACCAGATTTAAGAATACAGAAACAACTACAATGTTGGAATCGCTCTGGATCAAGGCAAACAAGCTAACTGTGGGAAGACATTTAAACAACCAGGGAACTGAGCATGGACTGTGGTCAGATGCTAGTAATTTGGTATCTCTCAAGAGTACCATATACAACGAGACTTCAAGATAAAAGACATTTCTAGTGTGCATGTTGAAAACGTCCAGGATAAAAGCAGCTAATCCAACATTTTCATTGTCAAACTGAGCTAACTCAATCCCTTATCAGTGAACAGGTATTAAGAGTAACAAATGTTAGGTATTAACAGCCTAAGAAACCAAAACCAGGTAAGCAAAGCTTCTGCACAAAAATCCCCAAGCCAAGTTCTAGACTAGTCTGGGCTTGTCAGCAAGTTCAGTCTCAAAAAAAGGAGACCATCACTGCCACCCCCAACACACACGCCATCATCTACCAATGCCGTAGGTACAAGGAGAGGTACTGGTGCCCAGAAGGAAACCAACACCAATTCCTTTACCAGACCAAGTCACCAGCCAAGAAAACAAAGATGTGCTGCCTCCATTTAGTATGTTGGGGAATAATGTTTGTAGGTGTGCTACTTTTGTTTAACTCTGTGAGGCTGTGTTACTGTGCCTGTTAAACACCTGACGGTCTAATAAAGAGCTGAACGGCCAGTATCACAGCAGGAAGACAGGATAAACATGAGGAGAAATCTCGGAACAAGAGAGAGAGGAGGACTTCAGGAGCCATCTACCCTGCCAGACACAGGGTAAGAAGGAAAGAAAAGGAATAGAGAAAGATAAAAGTCTCAAGGCCAAAGATAAAAAGGATAATTTAAGAAAAGCTGGCAAAGAAGAAGCCAAGATAAGGCCAGGAATTTATAACTAAGAATAAGCCTCCGTGTGTGACTTATTTGGGACCCCTCAAAAAAAGCCTAGAGAGTAAAGAGTAAAAAACAATTACAACACCAGTTCAGAAAAAAGTACTAATGAAATTCAAAACCAGAGCTACTATAATAAAGCATATGCCATTCCTCTCCACATCTTCAACAGACTCTGCAGCCTCCTCCAAAATAAGAACTTAAAAGCAAAAAAAAAAAAAAAAAAAAAAAAGCTGGGCGTTGGTGGAGCATGCCTTTAATCCCAGCACGAGGGAAGCAGAAGCAGGCAGATCTCTGTGAGTTCGAGGCCAGCCTGGTCTACAATGCGAGTTCCAGGACAGCCTCCAAAGCAATACAGAGAAACCCTGTCTCGAAAAGCCAAAAAATAAATAAAGAGGATTTTTAACTTAAAGATAATCGTTTTTAGAGGTCGGACAGATAGAGTTTAGGGCTGAAGAGACAGCTCAGAAGTTAAGAGTAACTGCTGTTCTTGCAGAGGTCTGGAGTTTAGTTCCCAGCATCCTATGGTGGCTCACAACTCTAGTTCCACAGCACCTGGCACCCTTTTCTCACCTCCTAGGACACCAGACACACAAGTGGAGCACAAGCATGCATGCAGGCAAAACAACCATGCACAAAATGAAAATAAGCCCATTTTTGGAAAATGAATCAACCCAAGAGCATGGTCCCTTAAATCTCAGTCCGTTCATCAACTCATTCATCTGCTGCCATGAGCCAGGCACTGAATAAAGTCCAGTGGCTGAAGCACAGCAGCAACAGAACCAAGCCCTGGCCCTACTCAACACTCATTTACTATGAGTGCACTCTGTGCAGTGCACAAGAAGGTATCCAAGCCAGGCCGGGGCACACACCTGTTATCAGGTCACTATAGAGGCTAGGACAAGAAAAGCATGAGTTTCAGGAGAGTGGGGGCTACACACAGATTCCAGGTCAATGAAATACAATCACAGTAAGGCTGTCTCCAAAGAAAGGGAGGGCAGGAATGAAAGAGAGAGAAGAGAAGGGATAGTAAAGTGACAGGAAAGGGATATGGACATTAGAGCAAGACAAAAGATAAACAGTTCCTACAGGGTGCTCTGCTCGGAGAGCTTATCTTCCTGTTAGATGCTTAGGTAGCCCGAGGAAAGTGAGAGTGCAGGCATGCTTGATACCAGATCAAAGTTAATCAGCATCCATTCAAGGTTCTGACTCCAATTTCAGAGCTGCTAGATATCACCCTTTTTGTGTTAACACAATTCCCTTTTAAAGTCAATCCAGAAGAAAGATGGTTCAGGCCGCTGGTGATTGGACTCTGCAATCACAAAGCTTAGGGGCACCAACAGAAAACCATCAAGAAGCTTGCCCCTTAGTCAGCCAGCTTGTTCAACAGTCTGCAAGCTTTCTCTTCAGGGGCCGTGCTGAGTGACTGACTACATCATCTCCACAGAACATCTCTTCCAAATGAGGACAGCACAGGCTCAGAGAAGACTAAATAACACACCTACCATCTCAAACTCTGATGCCACTGGTGTGCCAGAGAAGAAAGGGAGAAAGAAAAATGAAGCCAAACCCTAGTGCAACACAGCACTGGACTTGTGGATTTCATCCAGGCTGAAATACTCAAGCTTTACTGACAAGATGCTTTAAAACGCGTCTGAAAATAGCCCAGTCCTCCTGGGACTGTCTACCGCTTCCGTCTTGGCCTTTCCTCCCTCGGGAGTCTACAGCTCTCTCTACTTTTTTTCTGACACTTTTGTTTATGACATGTTTTATCTCACAGGTTAGAAAATGGCCAAAAAGAAGCCATGTTTTATCCACCACATCTTTTTTATTGTGGTATAGTCCACAGGGCCCCAGACTGGCCTTGAACTCCTTCCTGACCCTCCTACATTCACCTTCCAAATGAAGGCCACCACATCTGGCTCTCCTCATAGTATTTTACTGTAAAATATTCAGCAAAGAAGCTTGACCCATCAGGTTCATGCTCACAAACTACATAAGTTCTTGATGCTGAGGAGAGGCCAATACAATCCTTTAGTCTTCATCTACCTTCATACAGGCTGGTACATGAACTCAGTTTCATTTAAGATCATAATCACCCCTAGACTTAGAAACCCAACTTCAATATTGTACTTTCATTGTCAATAACATGGACCAGGGTTCCTCAAAGTGTGGTTCCCCCAAACCAACTGCACCAACAGCTGGGAGCTTGTCAGAAATACAAACATTCAGAAATCCTCAGTCTGGGGTGCATAACTTATGTCGCCTTCCAGGTGATTCTCATGTGAATTCAAATTTGAAAACCAGTACACAAGTTTGGCAGCATGATGGCTCCCACCAGTAATCTTAGTTACCGAAAGCTGAGGCAAGAGGATGGCTTGAGCTCAAAGCCACCCTAGGTAACAGAGAGAGACATCTGCCCCTCAGAGGCCTCCTGCCCCATGCCATTGAGAGGGAAAAAAGGGAAGAGAGCAAAAAAAACCACTTACGCTAAAGTTAAAAATAATGCTTCCAAGCTGGGCGTTGGTGGCGCATGCCTTTAATCCCAGCACTCGGGAGGCAGAGGCAGGCGGGTCTCTGTGAGTTCGAGGCTAGCCTGGTCTACCGAGCGAGTTCCAGGACAGGCTCCAAAACAATACAGAGAAACCCTGCCTCGAAAAACCAAAAAAAAAAAAAAAAAAAAAAAAAAAATGGGGATAGAAGAAACATAAAGACAAGACAAAACCATTGTGAGTTATTTTGAATATATTGTATACAATAAGCACCTTTTAAATGTAGCTGCTAATGTATTCTAAAATAGCTAGCTGCTGTGTTTCCATTGCAATTATTTTCTTTTAATAACTAGATATTACAAATTAGATGTCCTGGAGCCATTACAAACAACTCAATAAAAAACCAGCCCTCTTGGAAGGCAAACTGGAGCCACCTCCCACTCCTGGTACTGTCTCTTAGAAAGTGCCCCTGACATCCTCAACCTCTCAATGCAGCTCACTTTCCTAAACTTTAACCATTGGTAGTCATGTTCTCCTTTGCAATAGAATTTCTCTCTAATCTACCCAAAACTCTCAATAAAGTATAAACTGGTGCCTGGCATAGTGGTGCACACTGTTAATCCCAG